GAAACCGCACGAGGAAGTGTCGACGTGTAGACTAGGAGTAAATAGAGGGGTCGGCCACAGAAGTGCCGCGAGGGTAAGGCGTATCAGCCAGGGTCCAGGGGCGCGAGGGCCGCGGCGGAGAAGACGGGTGTGGTAGAAATGAAAGCGATGAGGCGATGAAGGCCGGTGGGGTGGTGCCAAAGCCGATGTAAATCCAGGAGGGTGGGCTGGGGGTTCCGGAAGAGCAGGTGCCTCGCGTGCGCATGTCTCGGGCAGCGCAGCATGACGTGGGTGCGGGTGCTGGGGGTGGTTAGATCGCATACACAGAGTGCGCCATGGAAGTGACGAGCGGGGCCCGCCGTCCCAAATTGAGAAGAGAAGTAAGGGGCCAGGTAGCCGTAGCCCGTTAAGGCTTGGGTTAACCTGGCTTCGACATCGCGTTCATAATATTTGGAAGTGAAAACGGGGTGGAGCGTCTGGGAAGGCAGGGATGGCCACGAGGACCGTATTGCAGGGGGTCGATCGGTGTAACGGAACTCGGTTTGCCAGGAGGTGGTCGCTCGCTCGCGCGCCCAGCGCCGGATCCACGTTAAGGTGGGTAGGACACTATCGGGTAGGGACGTGCCTTCCTTGGCTAGCCGGTCCGCCACCTCGTTACCCAGTACACCCGTATGCCCTGGAACCCATAGCAGCGAAATGTTCAAAAGTGGGTATTGCTCCATGAGCGGAGCGAGAAGTGCCCGAAAGCGAAGGGAGAAGGGCTGGCCACTGTGTGGGCACAGCGACAGGACATTGGACAGGGCAGCGCGGTTGTCCGCGCAGAGGTAAATGTGGGTAATCATGGGGTAGGTCACCAGAAAACCGGCAAAGCGGCTGGCGACTGCTGCCATTGCGAAGAGTTTGGCGTCATACACCTCAGCCTGGTGGCCCATGCCCCAAGCCCGCTCGTACTTTACTGCACCCTGGTGAATGATACACGCACCTGCACCTGCTCGTCGGTTCCGCGGGGCGGGGTCGGGCTGGGCGATTTGGGAGCTGTCTGTGAAGACCCATAGGGCGTCGGGTAGAGGGATGGAAGAGTGTAAAAGAGGGAAGAAAAAGGAACGTAAGTACTCCTTGGAGCCGTCTTTGGTAGGCGGAGGGACACAGACGTGAACCCTCTCACCCCATGGATGCGCAGGGTCCCAGGGCGGCTGCAACCAGGGGAGAAGGCGCACCGCTCTCGTGGGCAGGGTTTATTCGAGCACATCCACCGCGCTGGTGCCGTGATGGACATGGATGGCGGGGTTGAGGAGGGAGAAGTTGGGCGGGTGGGCAGTGCGGTTGGCTGCCAGGCAGTGGGTCACCGGATGGGACGCGGAGAGGGTGAGGAGGCGAGCTGCGGCAAGGCCGTTGAGCTTGTCGAGCTGGTGTCGCATTGGCAGGACGCTGGATATGAGGTTGAGGACGTGGTGGGGGGTAGACCGCCATGCTCCCATGAACCACCGCAGTGCATTGTTTTGTACCTGTTGCAAAGGTTGAAAGAGTGAGCGTGGGCCCCGCGGGTTATACCACACGGGGCTACCAAAGGTGAGTACGGGAAGGATGGTGGTAAGGTATAGCAAGCGGGCTTGCACGACCGTCATGCCTCGCTGTGTGTTGGCGAGCATGCAGAACGCGGCTACACAGGACGAAGCCCTGGCCGCCATGACGCGAATGTGGTGGGTGAAGGTGAGGCGTCGGTCGTACCAGATACCGAGCCATCGCAGATATGAAGCAGGCTGTATGGTGATATCCCTTCCGTCCCACTGAATCCGCAGGGGAGGGTTGACGTCAAGGGAGCATCTCGGGGAGGTAAAGTGGATAAGCTCTGTTTTCGCCATGCCAATGGTCAGCCCAAGCTGGCGAAGCGTGGCGCCCACACTCGGCAGAGTGCGTTGGATGATGGTCGTGTTCTCGTTCAGCGAGGGAGAAACGATAAGGAGGGAAAAATCGTCAACGTAGCCCGCCGTAGACTGCTGGGGATGCGTGAATGGATCAAGGTTCGCATACAGCGGGGAAGAGTATATGGTAGAGAGGACTGGCGACAGAGGCGATCCCTGTGGGATGCCGAGCGCAGCGACGTGGTATGATGGACCCAGCTCTGAATTGAGTTTGGGCCGCACAGTGCGCGAAGAAAGGAAGGACATGGTCCAAAGGACCTCATTTGTGGGAAAGCCCATAGAAAGGAGAGCAGAGTGAAGGACGTCGTGGCGAATGTTATTGTAATAGCCCTCAACGTCCATGCACAGTAAGGTAGCAGAGAAACCGTTTTCCCAGGCGGTGCGTACACGGTGCATCAGAGTGACTCTGGCATCCACGACGGAATGCTGGCCCCGCCCACCAAACTGTGAGCCGGGCACAAGATTGTGAGCACCGATCTGGAAGTTGAAACGAGCAGCAACCACTTTCTCGAGGACCTTGCTTAAGGTTTCCAGTAGAGCAATTGGTCGGTGGGACTTGGGTGCGGTGTAATCCGCCTTGCCCGGCTTGGGCAAGTACACAACCGCCGCAGCCCGAAGTGGGGCGGGGAGGTAACCCAGGCGCAAAGAAGAGGAAAGAAAAAGGAAAAGAGCATGACGTGCACCAGACCGCCAGACCCATTTAAGGAGCCGCCACGACACTCCGGAGATGCCGGGCGCTGAATAGTTAGACGCAGCCTCGATGGCGGCAGTTACTTCAGTGATAAGGAGGGGACGGTCTGGGCGTGCTGCCGGAGGCGCAGAGGTAAAGAGAGGAGGCAGATCAGGCAAAGGCGGAGACGCCGGAAAATAGAAACGTGTGAGTAGACGACCCGCGTCGGCAGGGAGAGAGCCAGTCTCCCCGTCCGCGCGGATGACGGGCAGCGGGGGCGCCCGCACTCCTTTGGTCCAGGAGGCGAGTCGCCAGGGGTCGGTGTGCTGGAGTCGCGCGACCGCCTCCCGAGTCCAATCCTTCCGAGCTTGTCGGATGGTGGTCGAGAGGGTGGCTTTGGCTGCTCGCCTCTCCTCATGAGTAGGCGCCGCCTGGACATTTGCGTGGGCAGTGTCGCACGCATCGTTCCACCAGAGCTGGGAGGCCCAGTGAGCATGTGTGCGTCGGGGGAACACTTCGTGGCAGGCCACGGACATTGCTCGCAGCAGAGCCTGAGCGCCCGCTTCGAGGTCGTCATTGGTGGTATAGTTGGCCGGCGGTGGGGACAGCGCCAGCTCGCGGGCAAGGCACGTGTTCCAGTCGTCTCGTTTGGACACATCGACTCGAAAGCCAAGGTCAGCGTCTATAGGGTGAGCAACGTGAGAGAGAGTAGAGGTTAGTAGAGCGTGATCGGATTCAAAGGATGTGGGAGTAGCAGCGACTCCGTGAATGTGAAACTGCGCACTGGAGGTCGCGCAGACCAGATCGATGATGGTGCCTGAGAGCAGGTCTCCATTCACCATGTGGGTGGGTTGATCGAGGTCATTAAGGATTTCGAGCGACTCGCGCTCTAGCCACCCCGCGAAGGCGGTGGAGGCAGTGGAAGCAGAGCGGGAGGCCCGTCCGGTCCACGACCATAGGGGGTGGTGGAGATTAAAATCTCCGGTGACAAGGAGGTTCGCTCGTGGCGGGAAAGGGATGTCATAGAGAGTGGGCAGGACGCGGTTTTGGGCTCGCGAGCCTTCGTTATAGCAGTTGACCACGAAGAAATCATGGGTGGGATCAGAGCGGGAAACGAAATGAAGAATGACTACATCCGGGTCCGACACCAGGTCGGTACGCATGGATATATGGTAAGTGTTTAAGAGTACGCGCCGGACCAGGATACTGGCTCGAGGTCGCGGCGACGCAGAGGTTGAGGGGAAATGAAAAGCGTCTAGGCCGTAGGGCCGGACATTGACGTGACCAAAAACAACAGTGCCTGACTCAGAGCCATGGGGGGTATCAATGCCGATTTGCCCCCACCACGGTTCTTGAAGGAAATAGATATCGTAGGAAGTGGAAGAAACAAAACCGTGGACTCGCGGATTAGACCGGGCCACATTCAAATGCGCGGTTGTGATATTCATGATGAGGGGTTGGTGCGCGAGATGGGGATGCGGTAATCTTTCCGCGCAGGGCAGGTGGTGTCGGCGGCATTGTGACCATTGGTGCCACAGACCACGCAGAAATAGTGAGCAGACTCGCAAGGCTGGTCGGCCGGACGAGCCTCATGATTGCAGACAAGGCAGGCCTGCCGATGCATATCGGACGTGTGAGTAGTCTTTCCACAGAAGCGGCACACCGGTGCCCGCTTCTTGCAGTGACTTTCGAGATGTGTGAGGCGCCAGCAACGAGTGCACTGACGGAATACGGGACGATCTTTCGACTTCTTAACCATCAGGCGCGAACCGTAAAACCATATAAAGCCAGCGGCGTCACCGCGGTTGTCACGACCAAGGAGGTTGCGCGCGCAGAAGTCGCGGTGCACATCCTCAATAGAAATGATAAGGGAGGATTTCCCGAGCTGCTCGCGGTGCTCAGGGGGAACGACAAAGTCGGGAAGACCATTGAAGTGAACGGAGGAAAACATGGAGTTGCGGCGGAGCTCCGCCAGAATCTCCTCCTCGGTGAGCATGTCTCCCGAGTCAGGGTGACGGAGCGGGCAGCTCGGAATGAAAAGTTTAGTCACCGGAGCGAGAGGGCGGAAGTCTTGTGGGACAGATGCCTGCTCTCGAGGGCCCGGTGCAGGGGATGGTGCACGTGGGACCACGCCCAGCAGATGACGGATGGGCCGGAGACACTCCTTGATGAGCGCATCCGGGGAATCATGCGAGAACGCCGCTTGGACCTTGGTTGGTCCAGCGAAACGAAGACCGAGAAAACGTACCTTGGCCCACGCGGGGGTCTCGTGCAGGCGTGTATGGACCTTGGCATACCATTGGGGCATGGTACCCCCTGCCTCGATGGCGGCGTGCTGCTCGGGAGTAATGAGAAGGACGTAGCACTTCTCGCGGTTCTTGGCGGCCACCTGTGCCATAGATTGGGCATTCGGGGCCTGTGTCTCAGGCTGCGTTGTAGGCTGCGCTGCAGGGGCAGCAGCACTGGAGTCGGCGGCGGGGGCACGTTGTCGACCAGTACGGATTGGCGGTTGGGGTCGCGGTCCCTCGGGGGCCTGAGGAGGGTGTGGAAGCGGACGCCCACGTACTAGCTGGGCCTCGATAGCCGACAGTCGCGTGTTGATGGCTGACGTGGCCATACGAACGCCGTCCTCGACAGCCTTAGTCAGGGCAGCCTGCACGTCGATGCCGACAGGGAGGGCGCCTTTCGTGCGCGGGCGGGTGTGCGGAACCTCATCCATGAGTGCGTCGTCGTCGAGAAGGACGGCTGCGTCGCTAAGCCGCTGATGGAAGAGACCTTGGTAGAGGTTTAGGACCCGGACACCAGCCTCGGTGTCGACGATGAGGGGGTCGCACACGAGAGCGTCGTGGAAGTCGCGAAGGCAGGTAGAGAGCGCGACAGCGCAGTTTTCGAATTCGTCGGAATATGATGCGGCCTCGTAGGGGCCTTCGATAACGCGCTGCACGCCAGTAGCAAGGTTGTTCAGATTATTGCGCAGAGATCTAATGGTGTCGCGCATATGATTGTGGACCGGCGGGTGCGGGGGCGTCGGCCCTGGGGCTGACATCGTCGCGCTCGCTGGTGGTGGAGACCCTCCCGGAGGAGTTCGCTCAACACCTATGCCCTCCATGGTCGATTCGCTGGCAGTCGCTTGTTGGGCGCCTATAGCGGACATGGTGGTACGGGAAAAAGAAGGATTTGAACATGTTTTTATATTTCTACCATGAACTCCTTGTAGCTCACTGGCAATTTCTGGCAATCTAAGACACATTTTTGAATTTCTAGCATGAACTCCCAGCATCAAAGTAGCTCACCAGCAAACTCTGTTAACACAGACATGTTTTTGAATTTTTCGTGAATCTGACAGATTGCTGGATTTGTACAGCGAAATCCATTAATGTTACCAGAAATTGCTGGTGAGCTACCTTGCTTCCAGAATTTCATGTCTAGATTACAAGAATTTACCATTAAGCCACCTTGCTTAGTGAGTTTCATGGTAGAAGCCCGTCAACAGCAGATTTCAGTCCGTAGGCATGTTGAAGAAGTACTGTGCATTATTGATGCTGCTTCTCAAAAGATGGCCTAGGTTACCTGCAATTGCTGGTGGGCTATAAGGATTTCATGGTAGAAAGACTGTCTAGGTTACCTGCAATTGCTGGTGGGCTATAAGGATTTCATGGTAGAAAGACTGCCTAGGTTACCTGCAATTGCTGGTGAGCTACAAGGATTTTTATGATAGAAATCCAGAAACACATCTAGCATACCAGAAATTGCTGGTGAGCTATGAGGATTTTATGCTAGAAATCCAGAAACATGTCTAGCATACCAGAAACTGCTGGTGAGCTATGAGGATTTCGTGAAAGAAATTCAAAAATGTGTCTAGGTCACCAGAAATTGCTGGTGAGCTGCCTTGAAAAATGTATTTAGGTCACCAACAATTGCAGGTGAGCTACCTTGAAATTCAAAAATGTATTTAGGTCACCAACAATTGCAGGTGAGCTACCTTGAAATTCAAAAATGTATTGAGGTCACTAACAATTGCAGGTGAGCTACCAGGATTTCATGCTAGCAATTCAGAAATGTATCTACATCACCAAAGATTGCTGGTGAGTGACTTTGTTACAGGATTTCGTGCTAGACATTCCAAAACATATGTAGGTTACAAGAAATTGCCGGTGAGCCACCTTACTTCCGAGGTAGAAATCCGGCGGAATCCGCCGGCAGATTCCGCCGGAATCTGCACCATAGGTCGGACCTTCATCAAACTTGAACAAGTCTCGAGGCTCGCCGCCCGTTTCAGTGTCGAATCCCAGAATTTACATGTGCGAAAGCCACCTAAGCTATCTCGGTGAAAGAAGGTCGGGAAATACACTGCCCGTCGTAAGTTGGTGACGATCAAATCGACGAGCCTAATTGGGAGACTCGGTGATGCATTGCGTTGATGCTCCCAACAAATTCAAACGTTCCGATATGTAATATGAGTACCGTCACCTCGACATATTTTGCTCAAGAACACGCTTCATCAAGACCAAGTCAAGAAGGAAACGCCGCAACATCGCCGGTGTCGGGTCTGAGATGGTCTCATGGTGGTCCGGACTTGGTCCGGACGGGCAGCGTGAGTGTCCGAGGCGGATCCACGTCGAGTCTCAGTCATGGCATCATCAGGATCCTATTTCTCCCTGTCCGTGCCACGGGACTCTCCCAGCAACTTTGCTCTTCCCTTCTAGTTGCTTTCAACAACTACCATCATGCAGTTCTCTGATCTCCTCAACGTCAAGAAACAGGTGTGTATAGTCGTTGCCTCTCTTCAGGGGCGTGGAGGACGATCGACTGCTCCTTCAGTTGGCATTCTACGGCGCCTACCACAACAATCCCATTAACATCAAAATTCACCAAGTCTGCGTCCCGATCCTGATATGGTGCGCCCGTTCGATACAGACCGCATACGGTCTGTCTGACATCTCGTTCCTCTCAAAGGACCTTCCAAGTGATGGCCACGGCCATCCCGACGCCGTCCTTCTTCCCGCAAATCCACTACAGGCTCAATGACTACCTGGTGTTTGACTTCAACTGGTCCTTCGTCCAGGCTGCCGTATATGTGCTGTACTACTTCCTCCTGGAGCCCACTGCGGCGGTGCGTGGTGTTCGACCCATATGACCTCGTCGCTTCTCATGCAGCATGTTGGGTTGCAGGCTTGCTACGTTCCTCAGATGACGCTGTCTGTGCTGATGGCCAACGCTTATTCATACACTCATAACTCATTCAAGCATGCTGCTGCTATCCACATCGTGTGCTGGATTGCGCAGTTCGCTGGCCACTACGGTCCGGAGGGTCGTTCGCCCGCTCTCCTAGACAACCTCATTGGTGGTATGCATAACTCCCCTCTCGCTATCAGCCCCCCGTTGATCACCCTGTCTCAGCTGTCGTCCTTGCGCCATTCTTCGTGCACTTGGAACTGCTGTTCGACTTCGGCTACAAGCCGGAGTTGCACCACGAGATCAAGAACTTGATTGGCACCGAGATTCTCAGAGTGCGTAGAGCTGAAAAGGAGAAGGCAAGAGCAGCAGCGGCGCAGGAGGTCGGGAAGAAGGAAGAGTAAATCATGTGCCCAGCGGTACTTGGTGTATCGAATTGGATTAGTATTCATGCTGTGACTGATGTCTCATCTTCAGTCGCCATCAGGTTTCTGTGCGAATGTAGTGTATCTAGGGGGTCCGCAGATCCTTTCGCAGTTTGTTTAACTTTGCTATGTGTACATTAATAATTCTATCCTGAGGTCGTACATATTCCTCCTGTTACGCAGCGTTTCTGCCCCTCGCATACTGCCGGAACCAGCGTTGTCACCGATTAGATGAGACTGGACGGAGGAGAAAGGACGGGTTCTCCCAGAGGCGTCACATAGCAAGAGCTGAGACCGCCATCGACCTTGAAGTCCGTTCCCTATAGATAACAGTATGGTCTAGCTAACGCAAGCAGAATGAGCTCAGGAACGTACCGTCACGTAGCTGCTGTCATCGCTCGCCACTGTGAAAGACGAATGAGCACAGGCGGTCATGATGGTGACACGGCAGACTCACAGAACAGAGCACCTCTGGCCACTTCGACGGCCTCTCCGAAGCGACCCATAGGCAGGTGGACCATCCGGCGGTTCTTCTTCTCATCGGTGTTGAGGAAGTCCATCAACAAGGCTAGGACAGTCCGCGATCAAGTCAGTCTCAAACGTGGGCGTCTGATCGCTTAGCGCGTACGAGTTTTTAGGGGACCGCTAGACCCGAATCAGGAAGTTACGAAAGATCAGGAAGTGCGGCACGTACGGGCAGATGGAGTTGATACGAATGCCTTCGCGAGCGTGCACCATTGCGAGTTCACGCGTCATGGCGAGGACAGCACCCTGTGATGTGTGAGTGATCGGTGTATATCACGACGGGCGTTGACTGCGTACCTTTGACGCAGTGTCTGTGCGCCAGCAGGCATGTGTGAGCTAGCTGACGGGATAACAAATGCCATGATAGCACGCACAGGCCAGCTGCGGAGTCGCCGCGCCCATGAGCGCGACGAAGCTCGCCGTGTTGATGATGCTACCGCCGGTATGTAGGCCCTTACTCTCATCGGTGACGTTTTGCCGCATCGCAAGAATCGCGTATTTGCAGCCCCACCAGACGCCCTTGACGTTGATGCTCATCGTTAGATCCCAGATGCGTTCCTCCGTGTTCAGCGCGTTGTCATCCTCGGGATGCATGATACCTACACATATGTTCATATGAAAGAAGCTACACTATACTGCATGCAATAACGTACCGGCATTGTTGAACTGCGGAGATCGTGTGATACGAATGAATGATTGAATGATTATGCCTGACGGAACAATAGGAACGTACCATGACATCTAGCCGCCCGAACGTCTTCACGGTCTCATCAACCATGTTCTTGACGCTCTCCTCCTTGCTGACGTCGGCCTGAATGGGGATGGATTTGACATCAGGGAAGCGTTCTGCGATAAGCTTGTGCGTCTTCTGGACTGCTGGTCCGTTGACATCCACGAGAGCGACGTGGGCGCCTTCCTGCGCGAACAGGATCGCAGACTCCAGGCCAATACCTCTGACATACGAACGCTCAGCGCTACTGCGTGTCTTTCCTGTAGCGGGAGACGTACGATCCCGCGCCTGTGATAAGCGCTACCTGGATAGACGTGCTTATTAGCAACTATCCTCAGAGTCATCGAGAGCTGGCACCTTGTGCTGAAGACGACCGGGCATGGTGTGGAAGTAAAGGTTCGCAAAAGAATTGTTCTGAGAGTTCGGAGAGACCACTGCAGACGAGTAAGGGCAGGCGCGTCTCAGACTCTCAATCGATACGCGCGAACGCCGCAACACGGTCACGTGTGTCGCGGCCTCTCGCCGATTCGGAACGCTCAGAGACCGTCGCCTTCTCGCAGAGTAAATGTCAGCTTTCTGACGGCGTCCGAGGACCACGCAACATCAAGGTGCGGTCCTCTCGGTGTGTTTGCAGTTCAAGTTTGGCAATCCAACGGATCAGAAGGAATCTTGCTATCGGATGCCAGTTTCATGATTGATGCCAGCGTCGTAATCCTCATCAGAAGCCATGCCTCCGAATGCTGTTCGTGCGGCTAGCGCTAGCGTAGGTTTGGCCGGTTACCACGGCCCTATCTTACGAACTAACGACTACCGACGATGCCTTCCCGACCTTAGAATGGGCTCCCTCTCTTGCTTCCCCCCGATCGTAGGCGAAACTCGCCAGTGCTCCTGCCTCGTTTCTGATGTCCATGACGCAGCAGGAAGACCTAGACAGACTTGCCGGGCGCTAGCATGCTGTCGTCCCCGAGACGGGCGCCTATATATGGTGGACGAAAAAAGCGCCGTCCATTCATACTCCTTGCCTCCGCCCGCGCGTATGCCTCGGCCCCCGTGCAAGATCGGGCAGGAGCCTCTATAGATGTCCAAATTTGCGGTTGCTATCTTCTCAACACAACCACTCATGTAACACGTTCAATTGTGGCGTCAGGGCATGTTCATTAATCGGGGAGCAAATGTTCTTGCCTCCACCGTCGTTACATCTCGTCATAGGTGGCACCGAGAACGCCTATCCGCTTCTGCATGAGGGACGAGAACAGCTCTGCATAATTGCACTACGACAAAATGGCGAGTGTTGTCCCTTTAGCTCCCTTAGCGTCCCTCATGATCATGCTGATTCGTGTAGTCGCTGACGCACAAACCTCCGCTGATTTGTCGGCCGAAGGGCATGAAGCAATCGAAACTCAAAAATATACCAGGTTGAATGGTAGTGCGCGAAAGCATCTATATAGCCGGCTCTTGTGCATCGAACACCGCGAGCTAATCGAGAAGTGCACTTGAAACCTTTCCTTGTAGAGTTAAGATGAGCCAGCGTCTTCCGCGACCCCGTTCCACGAACCCGGACGTCATTGCTAGCTATCCATCCAAGCATGGCAGTTTGGGCCCCCTAGCGGTACGGTAATTGTCGTTGGGTTCCGCTAGGCTATGATCAGGCAAGGCTGTCCTCCGAGCATTTCCTGAGGAAATGCATCAGTGTTTGATGGAGCGCACACAAGTGCGCCGTAATATCGGGCATGCGCCAGAGTATAAAACGTTTACTTGACAGGCAGGATGAAGTGTGGCACAAATGTACAATCACTTCACCGTCCTCTTCCTCGCTCTCTCGGTAGCCTCTGCCGTCCTTCTTGTGACCATCGGTCATCACCGAAGGCGTGCTAGTACCTTGCCGCCTGGTCCGCAAGGATGGCCCCTGATCGGTAACATCTTCGATATGCCTACCACGCAACAGTGGAAGAGATTCGCAGAATGGGGCCAGAGATGGGGTAAGCACAACTCGTCGTTTTTGAGCCTCCATTTGTGAATGCTCATTCAACATTGCCTAGGTGACCTCATGTCCATAAGCTTGCTTGGACGACGCATGGTAATCATCAATTCGTCCCAAATTGCCATGGACCTATTCGAGAAGCGGAGCTCGATCTACTCTGCTCGGCCGACGTTCGTTGTTGCGGGAGAGATGGTAGGCTGGGATCGTATAGGTTCTCAAGTGCAGTACGGTCCCAAGCTTAGGGAGACCCGTCGACTGTTTTCGCAATTCATCGGCACTCGCGAGAAGGTAGCAGATCTTGCGCCTCTCTTCGAGGCGCAGACCCATCGCTTCCTCTTGCGCACCCTTCGACGGCCTGAGAACTTGGTCGCACACATCCGTCAGTAAGTGTTGTCGGCAGAGAGGTTATTCGTTCCACACATTTATCTTTACATCTCTCACAGGACCGCAGGCGCTATAATCCTCCTCCTCGCGTATGGATATAAAGCGGAGGAGGACGATGATCCGTTCGTTCGCATGGTGCACGTCGCGGTTTCCGAGGCGACATTGGCTCTATCTCCCGCCGCGTTTCTTGTCGATGTCTTCCCGTACAGTGCGCTTTGACAGCTTCCGAGCTTTACTGATTGCACTGACCAAAGAGAAATATACTGCTGCATAGTCAAATACGTCCCTTCGTGGGTGCCGGGCCTCTCGTGGAAGAAGCGCGCAAAGTCGATGGCAAAGAACGTGTCCGTCATGTGCAATATGCCATTCGACTTTGTTGAGCAGCAGATGGTAATTTACGATGCATGATATACATACCACGTGCTAATGGATGCGTGTCCCTACAGGCAGCTGGAACTGCAATCCCTAGCTTCACCTCTCGTCAGCTTGAGCACAACCTGAGCCCGGAACGCAAGCAGCTCATCAAGGATGCAGCGGCATCACTTTACATCGGTGCGTCGTGCCGCTGCCTTTGATGCCTCAGAGGGTCACGCTTACGTGCTGAATAGGCGGGTCCGACACTGTATGTTCTCTCCTGGTTTTGACACGCGCATAGGCACTGAACAACCACCTATGTCCCTCTAGACGGTGTCATTGCTATCCTCTTTCTTCTTGGCCATGATGTGCTATCCTGAGGTGCAAAAGAAGGCGCAGATGGAAATCGACACAGTAGTAGGCACTGATCGGCTTCCAACCCTTGCCGATCGAGATAACCTGCCATACGTGAATGCGTTATGCTTGGAGGTGATGCGCTGGAATCCTACGGCTCCTATAGGTTTGCTTCTCTCTATGGAAGGTTTGAAGCTTGCTGACCTCTCCTTCTAGGTTTCCCTCACGTGCTTAGTGAGGATGACTACTATGGAGAGTTTTTCTTCTCGAAGGGCACGGCATTCATTGCCAATATATGGTATGCATTCTCTCTATTTTTCATTTGAGGTCCTTGCTGATTAGCTTGGATTCGGCACGGTTGTGATACGAATAGGCAATTCTTGCACGATACGCGGACATACTCTAGTCCATCCGAGTTCATGCCCGAACGATACCTTCCTGCTCAGGATAAAGTTCCCGAACAAGATCCTCGTGCATTTGTTTTCGGTTTCGGGAGACGGTGAGTCTGATTGTACTTGTCGTTGACGCATGTTGACTCAAAGCTATGCCTACGCAGGAGTTGCCCGGGCCTTCAATTTGCAGACGCGTCGATCTTCGTCTCTTGCGCCATGTCCTTGGCCGTTTTTGAGATTTTCAAACCTGTCGTCGATGGCGTAGTAGTTGAACCAACTATCGAATGCACCAGTGGCGTTATCAGGTCTGTTTATACCATGGGTATCATAATTGCTCGGCACTGATTAGTAACAGTCACCCAGTGCCGTTTGAGTACAGCGTCAAGCCCCGATCTGCAAAAGCTGAATCCCTCATTCTGAACGCCGAGCTTATCCGTTAGTATCGACCCTCGACCATAAAGCCTGTATCAAGCCCAATGTACTCCGCGGTTTGCAACGTTCCTTCTGGTGCTCGTGACTCCTGTAGCATGAAACTGTATTGTCATGCCCCACTGACCATACGAGCACATGCTGATCCAGATGATGGAACAGTACGATGGCATTGTATTCTTGTAGTACTTCTGCGCTCCTGCATTGAAATAGAATCGCCTCAAATCGCATCCATCCATAACGTGGGATGTGCTAGCGCTTACTGAACAGGGAAGACGTCCAACGAATCCTTTGCACTGATGTTTATCGGCCAGATCAACCAGGGCTACTACTAAAGTTGCAAGGCCTCATGCATATGCCTCATGACGCTATTGTCCAAAGCTCGGGCGCACAGTTCCCCCGAGCCTCTTTCATATTCAACTCCGAGGAGCCGACTCGGAGAAGACACCCTATCGCGATTCTCTTCGCCTCTGGATATTCGATGCCCTGGTAAGCTGAGCACTATAGCTATCCCATCTCATTCCTTATCGGCCTCGTTGCAGTATCTATGCACGCTTACATGGCGGCTCATGGCCTATATGTCAGCTTCGTGATGTTGTAAGTCTCCAATATAATTTCTACTTGAAGAGCTGCCATTTCACGAAGGCACACTTGTTGCGCCCTTCACAAGGAGCTACGATCAGGGCTTGCACTGTAAGTCGTCATCAGATTGCGGATGTAGGGCGGATATGCATGTGTGACTGTAAAAAAGTGAGTGCTGCCGAGCTGCAGATCATACATTTCAGTCTGTATATGCATATCCTGATGCCCATGACACGTGGTATCATTATAGCCCTGATGTGTCTGCTCATTGGCAGGACCTTGCGTGGCGCGCTATTCTGCTTTCCTATATGAACGAGAGACTCTGGAAGACCGGCTCTGTTGACTCTCTACGCACAGCATCCAACGAGGATGTTATTCGTGGCTCTCTTCGACGTTGGGGCAGCTTTGCTCGCCATTTTCCTCACAGCGCGTATCGTACAACGCAGGCGTTCGGCATCCGCCCCACATTTGCCTCCCGGTCCGAAAGGATGGCCGATGCTTGGTAACCTCTTGGATTTGCCAATTTCTCATGAATGGAAGACGTTTAGTGAATGGAGCGATCGCTGGGGTAATGTTGATGTTTCCACTCTCTATGCGCGACATCTGACAATAAGCTTGATTCTCACAGGAGACATTATGTCTATACAGCTTTTGAACCAACCCATCGTCATAATAAGCTCGTCAACACGGGCAATGGAGATGCTTGAGAAAAAGAGCGCTATATACTCCGATCGACCGACTTTGACAGTAGCTGGGGAAATGATAGGATGGGATCACGCATTGGCTTTACATCACTACGGTAGTCGTTGGCGGGAGACCCGTCGTCTACATGCTCAATTCATAGGAAACGCAAGAACACAGCGAAGATATCAAACGTTCTAGAACGTCAAGCTCACAGATATCTCTTGCGTCTCATGCATGATCCACATACGTTGCAGTCGCAAACCCATCGACGAGCTCTATACGTTCATATATCATGCCATAGCATCAATTAACACAGTCCTATTGAACTTTGATCTAGGTTGACTGCTGCGACTGCACTAGAACTCGTTTATGGGTATCAAGTCCAAGACGGGACGGACCCTCTAGTGGAAATTGTTGATCGCGGCGTCAACGAGTTCTCGCTGGCGACTGCTCCCGGAGCATTCCTTGCTGACACGCTTCCTTTCTGTCAGTATATTTATAGTGTTTAGAAGAATAATACTCAATGGTGAGCTTGCACAGTGAGGCACGTCCCGGATTGGATGCCTGGAACTCGCTGGAAGAAAACGGTTCAAGCATGGGCCACAGACTACGATATAATGTCCCGAACTCCGTACGAATTCGCCAAGGGACAAAATGTACGTGCGATTGTTCTTTCTTGCCTAATTGCGTGTCATAAGGATTGCAGGCGGCAGGCATAGCACCGTCCAGCTTTGTGTAAAAGTTTTGGAAAGACGATGTCAGCCCAGAACGCGAGTCCGTCATTCAGGATGCCGCCACCTCTTTCTATGGCGGTAAGCGACTTGATAACCCGGAAGCTTACCACTGAATCCTACTTATGCCACCAGCTGGTGCGGATACGGCAAGTCATTGGTTCTTCAGGTGCTTTGGCGTTGCGACAGCTGATGGTAGGGATGTATTCCAGACCGCATCTTCCATATGCACCTTTTATCTGGCGATGATATGCTATCCGGACGTGCAGAGAAAAGCACAGGAGGAAATCGACACCGTAATTGGCGGCGAGAGGCTTCCTGAGCTTGCAGATCGCGAACGATTGCCTTACGTTAACGCTGTTTGCCTGGAGGTCCTGCGATGGCAGCCGGTCACCCCTCTCGGTAGGCAGTCGGTGTTTAAAAACAAGTGATCCTCATTTGAGCTTATGGACGGCCCGTGTCGCAGGAGTGGCCCATCGCCTCATCCAGGACGACATGCACGCTGGTTATCACCTTCCCCGAGGCACCATAATTTACACCAATGTCTGGTCGGTTTTTTTGTGCATGTGGGTGCAATGGACATCGAAAACTCTAATGCAAGCGATGTTATGCAGGAAATGCTGCATGATCCTGAGACGTACAGCGACCCAGATCATTTTATTCCAGAACGTTTCGTTGAAACACAGGGGAAAGAAGTGGAATTGGATCCTCGACAGATCGCGTTTGGCTTTGGGAGACGATGAGTGTAAATGTTATTGTATTCTGCATGAACATTCACACTATTGAAACAGAATCTGCCCAGGTCAGTGTAGGAACGCAGTTCGCGCATCACCGGCTTGAACCTCACCACTTCGTTCAGGGAGGTACCTTGCTGACGCAACGCTCTTTCTGGCCTGCTCCATGTCCTTGGCTGCCTTTAACATCGCAAAACCTGTCATAGATGGCCAGGTGGTCGAGCCTACTAGCGATTACTCCACTGGGACAATTAGGTGAGTAGATGCGTTTCCACACACCCCTAGGAACGATGTCATTCATGCAATCCAGCCATCCTAATCCCTTCCAATGCTCTATCAAGGCGAGATCGGACAGAGCAGCGAGCCTGATCATCTCAACGGGTGCCAATGATCAACGATTCAAAGCTCTATAGTATTGACTGTACGAGTAGGTATCAATGAATGGGATGGCTATAAGATTACATGAATAATTGTTACAATCAATGTCATCTTGGAATCTGGATCGATGCAACGGAACGAGCAATTGATTTGTCAATGACTAACGTAATGTGTAAGAGCGATGCAATAACAGCAGCGAGCTCTTGACACGACTTGCTCGAGGAGGCTGTCTAGTCGAACGAGCTTCATGCTCTATCGAGAATACTTTTGTCGTACCAGTTGACGAAATTTTAACATGTGCCCAGTAAGTTGTTACGCCGCCAATAGCAGGGGCAACGACCGCTCGGCAGCCGTGCTTAACGTTGAAAGAGGCTGAACGCACTGACATCCGCATCCCGTAGCACAGAATCGTCCGCGTATCCCCTCCCAACAGGATACGTGGCTGACGTGCATGCATGATAAACAGCTATATGAGAGCCCTGTCGTCCTAGTGAGATGACTGGTTTCATTTAAAGAGAAGGTAAGACCCACCCTTCACAGGCAGACGGCAGACTGAGCATCGTATTGCCGTTGCTCGTCCTCCACAACCAGGACAGCTTTGTTCTGGATCTGATATGCCATGCTTGCAAATACGCACGACCCCTAGATCAATTAAAATTGTAAAGACTTGTGATTGTACAGAGATCGTCCAGCAAACCTAGGCAGTCCGGCGCAACAAGACTCTCCATTATGCTTGCATCCATCGCGGTTGAGTGGATGTCGTTCTCGACGGCCTTCAACAGTTCGGTCCTCTTGCTGGGAAGATTCCACGCGAGCAGCATCTGTGCATAACTGAAGATGTGACAAAGCAGTTGGTTGCACAGGCCTTGCTGTAACGTGACCCTACTCAGAGGGGGGAATTAATGTGCAGATCCATACACTCGAGCCACGCTCCAGACTTACAGCGAATACGGGCGTAACGATGATAATTTCACTATAAGTCGTTTCCTGTCATTGTGAGACGGACGTGCGGAGATAATTTGAGAAAACGTTCTGTGTCGTGTGTGTCCCGCGGACGAAAATGTTACCGCTGACAATACGGGGTCTACCTTAGTATCTTCCGTCCATGACTTGGTGGTGGGTGTAGTGATGTCCTTCCCACTCCCGTAGTGAACGGACGGTCTGCGGCCATTGCGAAAGTCCTCTGACATTGGGATAGACAATCTAGCCTTTGGACCTAACAAACTCATTGGCTTGCAAGGACGTCCGAAATCATCAGAGACTATTCATACCTGTCACGAATTGCTTCATGCTTGTTCCGGTGAAAAGGCTCGACCATGAGCCTTTAGAGGATGTCGGTGAAGATAGCGCAGGAGCCACTGGCTGGGTAGTCGGGGATGGTAATGCATGAGACCAGATTGGAGACAAAGACGGATTTCTTTGCCTGAGAGAGCGGCTGAAGTCAGGTGTACTAATGTCAGGAGTCATCTGGTGGGAAGCCTGGGTCTCTGAATATATTTATCAGGATCACAGTTCATGGTGAGGATGATTTAGTCATATAACACTCACGCGAGGAAGATGTTTGAAGGAGAAGGACTGAGATAAAGGCCAACATCTGAATATCTTTGCTTGCAATCAGCTCCTGGTAGCTACATAGACATCAGCATCAGGCAGCGTATAAACGAGAAAAATTAGTCACATTCGGTTGACGACATAGACGACCACTCGATCGGACGTGCGTTGGTGACTGGCCAGGTGTTCCGAACCATCCTCCTCTGCCCTCGTCAATGCAGCCTCTAGCATGCCAAGAATCCTTGCATGATCGGATCTTCCTCTCGCTATAGCAATCGCAGCGTTTTTCCTACAGAGTTCGGTGGGCTGTGTTGCAGAGAAAGTGTATTCTCCAGCTGCAGCGACATCGATCCCGACCCATTTTGAAGCATCTCTAATGGTAACAGTACTCCGTCTTGTCGGAACCAGTGAATAGCTGGATGGAATATCCTCATAGTGCCTGGAGTTTTCGGAAATCCTCCTAGGTTTCCTCTGCGAGACCGTGAACAAATTGGTCATGATACGCAGTATGTTGTTGGCATCTTCAGCTTGTTGAAGCTCGACAGACTCATTATCCCGATCACGAGCAGCGTATCCCAAATTGCGAATTGCGTCTGATACCAAGGCTGGCGAGTGGAACAGTCCGAACGACGCATCTGCACCATGAGGGGCGAGGGACGGCGACTCAGACATTTCTCGCATTGGATTGCGTACGATCCGTGGTGGTGCACGTGAAAAACATATCAGTTCTCCTATCAGGATGAATCAGTATTGCTCTGCTACCATATCAGTTAGGCCTACCATTGACTCCAAATACTCCCTGCGAGGTCCGAGGTTCAGCCAGATTCTTGTCGTTGCGCACCGAGGAGAAGCTAGGACGTCCACGTGTGCGAGTTGATGGTATTCCCTCTTCGTCGGACGACGACTCTGACTCGATTCCAGGACGTCTTCCGATTTGTTCGCCATCATCCCCAAACAGAAGGAATCGTAGACATTTCTCTAGACATGGCCGCTCATGCTCTCGAATCGTCCTCAGACGCCGGAGAATATATGCACGATTTTTGATAGAAATGAGGGGGTTCCTTTCCAAGTCAACACTTGGAATGCCATGAGGGTAGGTAGCGTCAGGATAGTCTCGAGGAAAGGTGAACGTCACCCGGATGAACACAGAGGTGGAGTCGCCCCATGGTCCATGCAATCCGAAGGTGCAACTTCTCTTTTTCGTTAGGTCTGCCTAAGCATTTACTTATGAGGATACTGCTGGATGAAGAACGAGGCAATGAGTTGATGAATACCTTCTCAAGCTTCACTTTTGAGGCACTAAGCTTGTTGACGACTGAGGTTATCCTGCCATAGCTGTCAATAATGATAAAGTACTCAAGAAAACGAAGCATACTCGTCCTGAACAGATTGCCCGACCTCTCCTTCGCGGTGGTCGTCATCTACCTCTTCTGTGGCGTCGTGCCCTTTCTGCAAGCTCGGTGCACGTCCAGAGACATGTTGATCTAGGAGTGAAGATGGTCGTGATCTTGAGCTCACGCGGGACAAGTTCCCTTTTTCCGCTCCACTTCCTTGACCCGAGCTACTGTCCCTCTTCGCGCCGACTTTAACGCTGGAAAGCCATGCGAAGGTGGTTATCCGAGCCGATCGCGCGCCAAGGTGTCCTCTAGTCATCGTTCCACCCTTCTCCTGTGCGATAGGAATGGGCTTCGTAGGCGCGACAGAAGTATCTCTATCAAGGTAAACTGATGAAGAGTCTGATGCTTCGCGCTGAGACGGGTTCCGACGAATGTTCGTCCTCGATGGACGAAGCGGATATGGTGCGCGGACCTCTGCCAGAATAGACCTGTTGCCTATAGGCGCTGATAATGCAGGAGTCAGGTTCATTCCGACAGGAGCATTGCTGAAAGAAATTTTGAGTTTCCTGCTGGGTACTCCAGCGGCACTGCTATGTGTTGGGGTTGTTCTTCCCGCTCTCTGCTCTTGTGAGCACAGTGTGAGAAAAGATACGCAGACCAACACTTCACCTGCATGACATCGGTATCCACCGGCCAGAACCGTAGTGTCTTGTCCTTCGACCATGTTATCAACTGGAACTCAGAATTATCTTCAGAGAGGGACCTCATCAGTCTATACCTACATAAACTGTGCCATTTTGGACTTACCGTAGCCACCTCTGCGCCATACAAATTCTTTGACAACATCTGTGTGGCCTTCGAACAGTTCGATCGGTGATTCTGGAGTCTCATATGCATACAATTCAAGTGCAGTTTCACCCCGTTGTGGCAGACTGAGGACACCGCGTCCGAATGGCAGGTCCCGCGCTCGCCAGACAGGGTAGGCAGTCTGAATGGTCAACTTCGGCTGGAAAATTTGGGTGTCCCACATCTTGATAGACTTATCAAGAGAACATGTTAGCAACTCCGTGCTACTTCCGTGAGCCCAATCAATCCCATATATCTTTGCACTGTGCGCCTTGATTTCGGCCACCGGTAGAGATCCTTTCTGTGTATGTAGATCCGACTAAGAACAGCGATGATACTAGAAAACATGAGACCAATCTCACACGTCGATCCCAAAGCAGTACCACGTTCTGATGAGAAGACGCGAGAAGGTTGCCATCTTGGCGGTTCCACTTAACCTGTGTTCCGCCAGCTGTGTGAAATTACCGAGGCTTTATCACTGTGACTGTACAGACCGTGGAAATACTTACCACCAAACGCGCAGAGTCCTGCAAGGAGACCGTCAGTCTGAGTTGTGCGTGGAGTATTGGCCCTGCGAAATAGACTCACCCATGACCGGCTTCTGCGTTGCACGCAGGTCCCATGCCCATAGCCATGAATCTATCCCTGTGCTCACCACGATATCCGGTTCAGTCGTGTGCCAGTTGATGTCCGTGATAGCGCGGTAATGGGAGCGCAACACGTGTTCAATAGATGTCTTCCCAGTCAAGAAGAGGTTCCATATAAGCCTAAATGTGGTTCAGCAACAACCACAGCACTGCGGCGTGACGGCCTTACAGTTTCTCGCTCGATGTGGATACAATATATTCACTGCGACTAGGATGCGGGTTCCACTGGACGTCTGCCACATCCCACGTGCCACCTTGAGGGAGAAAACTATAATCATCGTTAGGTCTTTCTATTATACTGGCAGACATTTTCGAACGAACCGCGGCACGTTTAGGGGCGCCTCCAAATCAATGATGAACAGTCCATTGCGTCTAGCCATATAGCATGTAAAGCATATTCAAGGATTGACATCACGAGACGTACGTAGCCAGCACCACATCTCGACTTCCTGGGCTTATGCTCATCTGTGAATGCATCACAAACATTAGTTTGTAACTTTAACGTTGTCAGGAGAAACGTTGGTATATTGTCGGACACATTGGAACTATACAGAACACTGCGAGGCAGCCTTGTGAGATAGCGATGGTCCGGATGAGTTCTCGCCACCATTGCTTCTTCCTTAGGAGCAGGGTGCTATATGGATCATTTCCAGGCACCATACTCACATTTCCGACGGCATCTCCCACCAACCCCTTCATATCGATCTGCAGACTTTGCCTGAAGTTACTTTCATCTTCTGGAGTCGAGGGAGGTTCCACGACGCCCGGACGAATAGTTACAGCACTAGACATCTTCGTTTGTAGCCATGTACAGATTTGAGCGACGCTACAACAGTAGCAAGTGGGAGCATGCACAACGAGGATTCACAGCGTCTTCAAGGAGTTGTGGCGCCAATTACAGTTCTAAAGTTGATCAGATCGCTCGTCCACTGGTATTTTGCGAGACGTCAATTATCACTAACTATTAGATGGCAGCAGCTGAAAGCACACGAGATAAAGTGTTCGGCATTGGCTGAATCGTAGCCGTAGTAGCAAACAAAACAAAACCTAGGCGTGCGGTGAGTGTACGGCGCGATTTACGATTCGAGGTCCGATGGGCAAAGTTCCGACACTAAAGAACACTAACGAGCAGTAGCCGCGCGCATGATACTTCATGCATTCATGGTCGGTCACCGCTCTGCTCAGAGACAGCGTAGCGAAAGCAATATCGAGCTGCATGAAGGATTACACTGCGAACGTCGGTGCATAAGCAAGTGCTGCGTTTGCAGACCCTGCAGGGCAAAAACAACTCGAAGACCCGGGCTATGGCTGTTTCACAGTGAAAGCTACTTGTGTGAAAGCGGTGTGTCAACACGTTGCAATCCTCGTGAATTCACCGCAGCTTGTAAGCATTCCAGCAGCCTATGTAGCCCACCTAACCTTGTCGTTACTACAACTCTCACCACGCGCTGATCAGCAATTCATGGCATTGGATGTGTCCAGCGCCGCACGCGTTACTCGTTATTGCATGATCGCGACAGTGTTGTTAGAACTCGCGGGATACAGCCGAGCCAGCGTGTGCACCATTGATGGCCGCTCTGGGTACCAGCTGATCGCGGATACTGCAAGTCCTCGTTCATGTCCGATCTCCGCGTTTGAAGGTGTGTATTAGGACTGAGAAGGAAGGATGCAAGCACAACTTGGACTGTCTCAGTTTGTCTTGTTTAATACCATCAAGGTCGTGCTCTTGCTGGTCTTCAACAGGAACGCTAGTCTTTCGCCATTTGGAACCTCACCTACTATGGATGCTACGCGGTGTGGTATCTGTAAATGGGTCTAGGGTGAGTGTTAATATTTGATAAGTTCACACCGTCACAGAAACCAGCATTTGCCACATGCCAGAGTTTCCGCAATCTTGGCCAATGGCACCTCCGAGTGACTTGTGCGATCGCCTCGAGGCCCGAGGCTCGAGACGTCGACATTGATATTGTGCAATGAGACGAAAGCGTGCACTCAACCATCATATATAGTCTGCCCATCGTCGTAGTTCGTTCGAGGGACCCATCACCGCCATCCATACTTTCCCCTTACTCCATCAGAATGGCCTACCCTGCGTACGAGACGTATCCCCCGCCGCTCCATCGATCCATGTCCTATGGGCAGCAATACGCGGGATACGATCAGCCTGTGGCTGCTCCGGGAGTCTACGGAGAGGTAGACTTGTTGCTATGGCTGCAATGGCGGGAAATGCTGAATGGCTGCTTAGACATATCCGCAAGGGTCGTACCCTGTATATGCGCCACAACGTACTATCAGCCAGTACGGTCAATACCATCGTGAGTAAGACGGACAATCTGAAAACGTTTCTCCACGACATTCCTGAACCACCTTCTAGCATACGATGATATGAACGCCGCGAACGCTGCTAATTCGTACTTCCCGGCGGAATATCAGTATGCATCCTCAGGATACGCCACACCGCATGCGCCCCGTATCACCAGGCGGCGATCTTCGATGTCGCGGCGCACACGTGTCCCTCTGGATGGCTACCGCCGACTCAGTAGCACACTGCTGAAGTTTAAGCGTAAGGGCGGCTTCCGCTCTGGTATCACCCTCGGTGAAGCCATGTCGAACGTCATGCTATCTGGCAACGAGTCCTACACGGTATACGACCTTAATGCAGACTATCGGGGCAAAATTATCCTCAAGATACGCGTGAGTAATCGCTTCATGTCTGAGGCACATTATAAACCAGGTATCTAAGCCTCTATTCACAGTGGTCTGGGTACGCCACCATGACGTACGAACTGCCTGTAGACGGCTATGATGGGCGTGTTGAGCTTCAGACTCTGGCACGAAGAGTGGCCCGAGCATGCGTGCATTTCATACAGGTGGAGTCTCCTTCCTCGCTGCTTCTGCCCTAGTCCTCATGTCTCGCCGCATTTAGACCAATATGGTCCCCGTTTCGTGGGATCGCGTGGTGCTATATCACCTCGAGGAGATCTCTGTTGGTACTTGGCAGCCGGTACTCTCCAGTAGCTGAGCCGATTGAAACGCAGTTGGCACTGCCATCATTCAGTTCCATGCAACAAACGCGTGAAGCCAAGGCAAAAAGCATGGTTGCAGCGCTTCCTTGCGTTTGTGGTTTTCTTGTTCCTCTAGTTGCTATCATATGTTGCTAATTTATACTGATAACTTGGTTGAATGTGATTGTACGATTACGTGACTATTATGGACTCTGTCATCTGTAATATTTTTAATGCAGTTGTGGACGTACTGATGTAAAGACATTGCGGGGCGGCATGAGCGGCGATACCAAATGCGGGGTTTCATTAACATTGATCGCCGAAGTAATGTCTCACAACGACAGGCGCCCGACTCTATGCACGCGCCGCATGTCCAGCATTCTTGCTGATTTTGTCTCTTCGGTAGCTCTGCAGTTGTACAATTCGCTTGCTCTCAAGATACCATCTGGGCGGTTCACTGTTCTAGCTTCGTTCATTTTACACCGTGAAGGAGAGATTCCTAGGCCCATCTCTCTCGCAACTGGCTCCAAATGCCTTCATCTTTCCCGGCTTCCTGAAGAAGGGGACGCAGTGCATGATAGTCATGCTGAGGTGTTAGCAAGAAGGGGTGCATTGCGCTGGATCCTTGAAGAGATCAATCGTGCACTTTCAGATGACCGCTATAAATCCTCGTGGATCCATCGAGCATCCGACGGAAAGTTCGTGTTCAACGATGACGTCCGCATGTACCTCTACGTCTCCACTGTCCCTTGTGAGAATCGCAGGTTGCATTCATCGGATCAATGACTCATCTTTCAAAGGCGGGGATGCGTCGATGCGCTTCCTTGCCTCTTTCCAAGATGTTAAAATGGCCGCCCTGAAGAACTCGACCCAGTTTCCCGAGTTATCTCCCAACACCGCTTCCAGAGGTCGCGATAATTACTCTCTGTACGGTGTATTACGGACCAAACCTGGGCGCTCAGACTCGCCGCGTACATTGTGTATGTCTTGTAGTGACAAGATTGCCCGCTGGAATGTCCTAGGGATTCAAGGCGCATTAGGATCACACTTGATCCATCCATTGTACATCTCAGCTGTCGTAATTGGAGACGTGGATGCGAGTCTGCAAGATATCGTCAAAGAAGATTGTCACAGAGCGTTCTGGCAGCGCATCAGCAGTGGTCAGTTTGCCCCCATCTATTGGTGTCTCAATGCGGTTGTTAAACGCAATCGCTGTTGCAGTGGAACACTTATCATCGGAATACAGGCTTAATAGACCTGAAGTTATGTTCACCTCACTACCGTTCTCCCACTCCCGTTCCTCGATAGGAAGTGGAACCTCCTGCAATGATTGTACGCGCTTAAACATTTGGCAGCATCTATCACGCATTAATCTAAGTATGTCTGTCTTCACAGCGCTCTGTTGGATTGCAGATTCAGCTTTATCGTACGAAATACTCATCAACGGCCTAAGGCGTGGCATTTCCCCGAAACATCGCACAAAACCGAAGTTAAGGCAAGCATCCTCTCGCGAATCCACCTCAGAGTTTCATGAATCCACTCGTTCTTCACAGACCGCGGGTGTGCAAGCGATCCTTACTTGATTTGTTTTGGCGGACCGCACTGAAAACGGGAATGCCTCTCCGACGGTGCGAATTGTCGTGTCGCTTTTCGCGTAGTCTCTCACCAGTATGCATAGCGCGACGTATCATGAACTAAAGCAGTCTTCCACCAAGTATCAAGCAGCGAAAGCTCTTTTACAAGGAGGGAAAGGCCCTTTCGCGGGTTGGGTTGTAAGCGGTATCGAATGGGAAAGCTTCGACTCGGGTGATACACATCATGAAGCCCACGATGTTGTAATGTTACAAGGCGGCATTTGACAGAGCTGTGTGCAGCTGGTAGATATTCGTGAGGCTGAGCTCCCCGTGGTAATAACATAGCATGGGTTACAAGGAAAACGTTACGACAAACAGGATGTACCGTACAGACGTTTGTGAAACAGATCCGAGGAAGTTTACCAGTCCGCGAATTTACAACATAAATATTGAGACATCCGTAGAGAAGGTGAAATGAACAAGTCAATGAGGGGGGACCAAGGTATGTATATCTATATGACATCCGGTTCGTCTATGGTTTCGTAAGATCGTAAAGCATTGGGAGCGGCATTCAGTTTGAAACTGGGGCGGTGTCAACCGGTAGAGCAGAAATTGACAGCTCTGGTGACAACGACTTCGTTTCTGCAGAAGGAGAGCCGGATACTGTGGTAACGTCATCGTCGTCTTGCGGACCCAGAACTGGACTGCCATTATTGCGAGGAGAGGATTCTGCGAGTTCCTTTCGCAATTCCTCCAACTCCTTTTCGAACCTATTGACATCAACAGGTCGGAAAAGCGCCACAAAAAGCAGGATGTGATGTCATGCTCACTTGCGGCCGAACACTTCGATATAGAATCCACCACCATTCCAAACGCTCACGGCAAATATGAGGATGAGGAAGGCTCCACTCCAGAAAGAGCTGTCATAGAGTAAGAATACAGCAGGCAGTTCGGTCAGGACAGAGTACACTGCAACGATGTATCAGATCGCGTCCTTCTTTAAACACGGTTGGGTGTCATACCGAATTGCCCAATCATGAATGAGAGTTCGCGATATCGCGGTGGTACCTTAGACAAGGCGCGACCAATAACGCCTCGTTTGTCATTCAACAGGAATGAAAGAGATGTCGTCCTTTGACCGGACTCAATCTTGGTTCGACGATTGATGAAGACAAACTACAAAGGCCAATTATCAATCTGCAATTACCGTAACATTCGATAAACCTACCTTCCAGTACAATACTTGCCAGACCAAATCTGCGGCATCCCATGAGAAGCGGTCCGTAGGCAAATAGCAACCCGTTTCTTACATATAATGCTGCTCAATAGAAGTGCCCTCATAGGCTGGAAGGAAGGGACCTTGACTAGCGCAGGGAAGCGTTCTTCCGCGTTCGGATAGAAATGCCTGGAACCTGATCAGAGCTGCGCATTTTGATACCGTATACAGTGGAGGATACACACCGGATGACAGTGAACGTAAGCGGCGGATAGACATGAATGAACAATGACGTAACCTTGTCGAAATCGTGGAAGACAAGACTGTTCCTCCATGTGATTACAGCAGACGCCAGAGACCCGTGTGACAGGCAATAGCACGCTATCAAAAGAACAGAACTCGAAGGCAAGAACCAGATGTAAATCAAGTTGAGGATATTAGCGTAGTAGCATAGATCGAACAGGAAGTAGTGCCAGGCGCGTTTCTTGTATAAGTATACGCGCATGGGAAGGTAATAGGCGGCTTGTAGGGTATATGCAATGTGTATCCACCTGCCATCCGATAAGTTTAAGAAATGAACTTCACGATAACTGACGGAATGATCACGCACTCAGGGGCCAGTCCAAACATCAACGAGGTGAAGAGGAGAGACATCACACCAAAGAAGAACGTCAGCTTTTCACGAGTTCGAACAACATTTGCGGTATGCCATGCCGCGGCGAGGGAGATCAGCCGTGAAGACACCTAATAGGCCACCATCATAAAAGGCATGCGGAACGAGGGGGCGGTTTCGGCCGACCTTGAATTTGAACTTCTGCATCTCCCGCTCAAACTGCTGACTCGTTCCTATCGAGGGCTTGCGCTTGAACAGGTCCCTCTTGAACATCTCGTTCAACGTCTCCTCTGCACGCATTTTGAATTTCTCGCTCTTCTTTGCCAAGCGGCGTTGAAGCAGGTCAATGCGCGAGTCGAAATATGTCTCCAATGTGTCTGTGCATTGCATATGTAAATCAACGACGGGGACAAAGTTCCCCAAGGAACCGTACCTAGGAGAGTGAATCCACTGGCCCAATCTGATACCTCATCGCGAGCAAATCGTTCATATGGCACGGAAAAGTACATGCTGTTGCCGATGGGCATGTCTGACGTGCGCAGGTTGTTGGGGGAAGGTGGGCGAGAGGAATCGAGGGTAGCCATGTTGTCGTCTAGATGCAAAAAAAATGCAGGATAAAAAGCGAGTGTAGGCACCGCAAATGCGCGGCCGCACGCGACGACGGAGTGGCAATCCGTTGTTACACGCGTTTGGGGAGCGTGCGCCGTGGAACACGAATGATGTCCTCATTACGTAATTCATCACGTGCTCCATTCATGATCGCCACAGTGATTCAAACTCCGCAGGCCGACGCCTATGTATATACGGCCGAACGCGTTCGTCTCCCCCTCGCAAGGCCGCTCGCATACCCACACAATGTTCCGCTCATCCCTCACCAAAACCGTTCTCAACGCTACTCCCCGCACCAGCCGCGTTGTCGCTCGGCCGCTTGCACGCGGATACCACGAGAAAGTGATTTCGCACTACGAGCAGCCCAGGAATGTGCGTCATGTTGCGGTCTGGACTTGCTCTAGGCATTATCTGATAACTCCTGATTGCAGGTGGGATCATTGCCCAAGAACGACGTTGATGTCGGCACAGGACTCGTCGGTGCACCTGCGTAAGTCATGTATACAACCTTTATCTTTTTCATTGTCGTGCTGACTGAGCATATTGGTCGTCAGATGCGGCGATGTCATGAAGCTGCAAATTCGGGTTGATGAGAACGGTGTTATCTCGGACGTGAAGTTCAAGACGTTCGGCTGCGGCAGTGCTATTGCATCTAGCTCATACATGACCGAGCGGGTTAAGGGACTGTCGCTGGAGGAGGCGGAAAAGATCAAGAACACAGAGATAGCGAAGGAGCTGTGCCTCCCGCCTGTAAAGCTTCATTGTTCGAGTAAGTTCCCACTCCTGCCAGTCTGATTTATTTATGGCTGACTGTCTTTTCCAGTGCTCGCAGAGGATGCTATTAGGTCCGCCATTCGTGATTACCGGTCAAAGCGCACGAAGGTGTCCAACCCGAAACAGGCCGGTTACATCGACGTCTCTCAAAGCTCGGCGACAGGCGAAACCGTGGCAACAGCCCATGCTCCGTCTGCGTAATTCACACGACCTCCTTAGTACTGTTTTCCGTCTTCGTTCGCCCGCCCGCTGTGTATGAGTAGTTGCTATTTTTGTATGGATATTCTGCTACTGTAGTGCTTTATGACCCATAACAACGTTAGGTTGTGAAGAGGTGGCTACATACTGTCTATTAAATGTGTAGTTCATGTTCCCTTCTGACCAACGAAAGAGAATGTGCCTCCAGCAAACCACCGCTCGTTCGCCTCCTTCACGCGCTGTGCGGCAGCTGCACGGTTGGTCAATTCAAATCCTGGGAAGATCATGCGTTACATTAGTCCGTTATGAGTCGAATCGTATTGGCTACTAACCTTGCACCGGAGTGACGGTCAACGAAGTGGCCGTTCCAGATGTCTGCGTGCCGCCAGCTTGCGCGGCTCTGGTGAGCGCAGCGGTGCGGAGCTTATTCGCCTTTGACAATTTGGCTACAATGGGCAAGGGCAATCAGCACGTTACCTCGTGCTTCACTATCGGAGCACGTACCTCGACTCTTCGCCTCCCCTACGCCGGCTCTGACCTTTCCAGAGCCAATCATACCAAGTCCTTTAGATTGATCGAAGGCTCCAATCTCCTCCTCCGGCTCGCCGAACGCCATACGGTTCTGTAGCTTACGAAGTTCCGTCTGGGCGTACGCCTCTTTCGCCTTCCGCGCCCTATGAGCATACACGGATTAGCATACTGGCGCGCCTCCATGAGAGTGCATATCAGCTGACCGTTTGCCTCCGCGCCGCTTCTTCGGACCGTCATTGGGAATTGGCAGTGCCTTCACAATCTTGCCTGGAGGAGGAGCGGCGAGGCGATCGATATGCTTCTCTATCTTATCGCGGAGTTCCTCGCCATAGGCTCCTATTGGTGGCTTATCAGATGGAGAACAATGACGCGAGCACGAAGCAACAAACCATCTCTGCGGTGCCTCTCTAGATCCATTCTAGCTGCCAGACAGCATTTCGCGCCCACAGTACGTTGTACCTTGAGTCGGTAATCCGGTGGGGTCTGCTGGACAAGCTCCGACTGGAAGACGAAGCCGGTATGTCGCCGTTGAGTAGCGGTTGAAAATCCTGCAGCAATTTTCCTTTGAGCTCCCAATAGCTGTAAAAAGAAAGCGATACATAAATGACAATAAATCGATGGATCGAGGCAACTGATGACTTACGTAGACGTTACATGCAGGCATTTTGGCAAGACCATTGACTCCTCCAGCAACCCCGAGCAATTTCGCAGCTGTGGTTGTACCAACAATAGCGGATAGGTTTGGCGCCAGAATATTCATTCGTGAGCTGACGTACATGAAAATCTGATGCAGGAATGTCAACAACAGTGAAAATGTAAATGATTGCATGCTCACCTTTTTCCTTGCTTCCTCCAAACGGTCAGCAAGATCGCAAGCTTGCTGGACGGCCTGCCATTCCGCCTCGGACAAAGGCTGCCCGGACGTGGTCGTCGCTGTAATAAGCACACTCATGATGACTGCTGGCGGTAAAGTACCGGAGAGATCGACTTTCGTTGGGTCCTAGTAAACATCTCGTAAGAAAGAGGTCTAGATTGATGAGAGCAGGACATACTTCACAGTTTCCCAAAGCACGAACAGAACGGATATACATTGCAGGGTCAGCAACGAGCTGCTCTAGCTCTGGAAACTTGGGTGAGTAGTGATCTCGAATGAACTGCATCGCACATTGCCTTGATGAGTCGAGCGTCTATGGGCTAGAGCGCAGCACACACACCTTATGCACAACCATGATCTCGTTGTCTACATCCACAGACAGGTTATTGGCTTGCACGATCAGATTATACTCTGGATTGGAATGTGAGGGCATGGCCATCTGTTCTGGTGTGCTCGGATTGGCCTGGAATTTCTCTATTTCCTGCGGTGCAGGTTCGGAGCCGTGGACGTTTATACATAAGCATACCGCGTACCTTGAGGATATCATTCATACGCTTGCTCCCGTCAAGCCTCGCGACCTTGCGCACGTCTTCTACTCCTTTCAGCTCCATGCGCTGCACTTCCTCAGCGTCAAGCTCCTCCGCAGGCTTTACACCACCCTCCAGAACAAGCCCGCCCACAAGTTTTTCATCCTCCCCTCCTTCTCCATCTTCCTCGCCTTCTCCTTCTGACATCTCATCGTCGGAAGACGCCTTGCGCTTGAGGCCATTGGATGGTCCTGGTTCTGCGTGTGCACTCTCAGTCTGCTCGTTGGTGTCCTCGCCTTCAGAAAGACCGTCAAGGTCAGCCAGAAGTTCATCTGCAAGGGCACTCATGATCTACACAGGTGAGGGTAACTGTGAAGAGAAGGAAGGAATAAAGGAAACCCAACGATGAGTGCTATTTGAGGTAAGATGTGTAAGCGCTCATGCGTGCCCTCAAAAGGTCCGCCCACGTGGCGAAATGCGGGGTAATGTGATCGACGGACATGTCCCCCCGCGTCGACTCTGCTCGCTCGTCGACGTGTGCAACAGGGATCTCTATCGTCCTAATATCATGCGGCCACCAGTGCTAAGTCTACGCTCGATACGCCGGCCGTGTCGCTGGCGAGGCCCACAAAGAACCTACCACTCGTCGGTCTTGCCGTCACTGTTTTCTACTTCGACCCCGGACTTCCAGGCTAAAGCGGAGGCTATGGACGCGTTGGTCGCAGACGTTGACGCGAAGATGGCGACGGTACGGCTGGGCGGCGGCGAGAAGGCAGCCCAGCGCATGAGGAATGCCGGTAAGAAGCTTCCGCGAGAAAGGTTTGTATATGCGGTTCTGTTACTATGTGCGGTATGGCAACCGAAGCGTGATTTAGGCTGTCTCTCTTGTTAGATCAACACTCCCCATTCATTGAATTCTCGCAGCTCGCTGCATACGATGTCTACCCTGAGGCTGTTCCTGCCGCAGGCATCATCACTGGCATCGGTCGCATATCTGGCCGTGAGTGCGTCATAGTGGTTAACGACGCGACAGTGAAAGGCGGATCGTACTACCCGCTTACGGTATGTAGCTCATACAGGTTTGCTTCTAAATTATGTTCATGCCAGTGTTGCAGGTGAAGAAGCATCTGCGTGCACAAGAAATAGCTCGAGAGCATGGTTTGCCGTGCGTGTATGTCGGTACGTTTCAAGTACAATCTTGTATGAATCCCTCAGGTGACCTCTGTTCAGTGGAATCTGGCGGAGCAGCACTGCCCCACCAGGCTAATGTAAGCGGGTCTCAGACATCTGATGCCTTGGAGATCTAGCATAGAACTATTGCATGCTCTAGGTTTTCCCAGACAAGGAGCACTTCGGCCGTATATTCTACAATATGGCTCATATGTCCGCATTGGGCATCCCACAACTTGCCATCGTACATGGCATATCTGTTGCGGGTCGGGTCGCTATTTCTATTCTGACCTCTTCACACTGATGACATTAGCGTGCAGGCGGCGCGTACGTGCCAGCGATGGCGGACGAGAACATCATTGTGCGTGAGCAGGGCCGTATATTCCTGGCTGGACCTCCTCTAGTTAAAGCAGCCACGGGAGAGGAGGTTGATGATGAAGCGCTCGGTGGCGGCCAAATGCATTCGTCCGAGAGTGGAGTTACAGACCATCTAGCGAGAGACGATGAGCACGCAATCGTGATTGCCCGCGGTATCGTCAGCGACCTTGGTAAGGCTGGTGGCCAGGAGGTGCCCGTGAGTTGTTTGTATCTCGCACCATCATTACTATTTTTGACTGGGGTTGATTGTGTGATGGCCAGCCGCCTGTATCTCCACAGGACCCATTGTACTCGGCATCAGAGTTGCATGGCATTGTTGGCACTGACCTCCGGCAAGCATTCGATATGCGGGATGTTATTGCTCGTATCGTCGATGGGAGTCGCTTTCGCGAGTTCAAGAAGGAGTACGGTACAACCATAGTAACGGTCAGTCTCTCGCATCGGGTTATACACACCGTCTCCTCATTTAGCCGGAACAGGGATTTGCCCACATTCACGGATATCCCACAGGCATTGTTGCCAACAACGGCATCCTCTTTTCGCAGTCCGCATTGAAGGCGACACATTTCATGCAGCTGTGCTCCCAGCGTCAGATCCCATTGTTGTTCCTCGTGAACGTCACTGGATACATGGTAGGTTCGAAGGCGGAGCGAGGGGGCATCGCGAAGGACGGCGCGAAGATGGTCCGCGCTGTCGCCTGTGCAGACGTTCCGAAATTGACCGTTATCGTGGGCGGTAGCTATGGTGCTGGAAACTATGGTGTGCTATTCCCTACGCTACCCTACGTGCCATGACTCCTGCTGACGTTTCCATAAGGCATGTGTGGACGAGCGGTTAGTCCTAGGTTGGTATAGCATAGAGCGTTGTCCTCATATACACCGTAGTACTCGCCGCGGTTCTTGTGGATGTGGCCAGTAAGTTCATTCGAGCACACGTCTATTTCTTCCTTGTGCTGACAGCCACCAGAACGCGAAGGTCTCTGTGATGGGTCCGGGACAACTCTCACAAGTGATGGCCACCGTCTCTAAGTGAGCCCAAGGATACTCCTCTAGTGGAGTTCGTCGGCGCTGACGCGCCGTCATGCAGGGATCCGTCCAAACACGCATCTCTCAAGGCGGACATTGAAGAACAGTCGACTGCTTTATACGCATCGGCTCGTTTGTGGGACGATGGGATTATCAAACCTACGGATACCCGTGATGTGGTCGGCCTCGCACTGGCTCTCTCTGCGAGAAAGCGAGGCCAGGCTTCCGTAGGAAACGGGTCTCCAACAACCTGGGATGGCGACGCTAAGGGCTTCGGCGTTTTCAGGATGTGAACATTGCTCACGAATGCTGCCCAGAACGTTTTCCTCGGGAACTTTGCATCAGAACTGAATGAATTGTATAAGTATCTATCAAATTCCACCGCTAATGTTTGTATAACAACATAGTCGGTTTTGACATTGATTTATGAATGCCTTCGCTTCCGATTTTGTACAGAATCGCCATCGACATCCATTGCATCTTCTCTATGGCGCTTCGTAGAAATGCTTGTAGGCGCTGCAGGTAACACAGGGCCGGTCCATGCATTGAGTTTGGAATCCTCGCCTCCCGTCAGAAGTATGTTATTCTGGTCATTGACATACAACTGTCAACGACGAGTGCGATGTAGTATGATGAGTACAAACCTGTTCATCCCATAGCACCGACCGCACAACTCCTGCATGACCATTTGTCCACAAATTGGACATAATCCAAGGCGACTCCAGGTCAAGGTAAGTGGGTCTCGATATGATTGCAATGTCACCTCTGGACACGGATGAGTTAAGCCGGATGAAGAAAACGACAAGGATGCGCACTCGTTGGAACCGACGAAGACACCCAGGTTGTTGTCCATGCCCATTGGGATGAACGCAATGTTATGGCATCCAATCAGGTAGTCTGTGACCCATGTAAAGTCTTGTCTATGCACGGATGGCTGGCGCATATCGACATCCTGCACTCGGTCAAGCTGTGCAGATACAAATAAAATTGTGCCCACCGCACAAACAACGGAGAACTGACCTCACCCGACCATACACTGAACGTCTCCATGTCACTGGAGGCCCAGATGCCCGGAGAACCGGAGCGGCCATACACCCAGCCCGCCTGCGCGATGCTGCATCCCCAGTTTCCGACATGCAGACAGGCTTCATCTTCGTCCTCCTCTTCAGCATTAGACGTGCACAGCAACCCATCAGACGACGCCGAAAGGAGCACTCTGCTACCACTGCTCGAATGAGAGAAATGCACTGCAGTAATGTCATCCGAATGTGTGGAAGAGTGAGTCCGAAGAGGTGCAGCAGGACTACGCGGGTCCCTGTCACGCTGCAGGTAAGTTTTTTTTTCGCAAGACTGTACACATGCAGTCTCGAACGCACCAGTAGAGCACCAAAGCGTCGTCTCCTTTTAATTCTGTTCCAGCGGCAATGATTCTGCCGTCTGTGGAAATATCGCAAGACAGAAGGGCGGGAGCGCTGCCGGCCGTCAAGGCAGTCACTGTTCAGGACAGACACACCAATCTCTCTTGAGTTCAGCTACACACTCGGTTAACAGGCCACGGACGATACTTACTTAATGTACCTGTCTCTGGAGACCGTGCATCCCACACCTTCACGCTACCATCTTTCCCGCATGAGAGGAGAACCGGAGATGAACTTCCGGCAAACGTGGATGCGGATCGCAATCCTGTGATTGATGAATCATGCCCGGCGAGCATTCTTACAATATCTAGGCGCGACTTGTCGAACAGCCATATCGCGTTGTCTGGGGAAGAGGCGGACACCGCATAATGCGAAGGCAGAGATGCTATCGAGAGAACATAGGCCTGTGACGGCAGAGACGTGCTTTTGATAGGCGAAGAAACACATTTAAAAGACGGAGAGGCCCGCAAAGACATATGAGCTGTAGCAGAGAAGGGTTGAATGTTTTCTGCAGAGTTACCATATCGAGCAAGGGACCATCAGCAGCGACGGCACCGCTGGCAAGCGCGCGGGTGGCTTGGGGGCTGGTAGTTGCTGTTGCCGTTGTCCCTCGCACGTTTCGTCGTCTTCGTCGTTCTCGCCGCTTCCTTCGCTGTCCGCGGTGCCCCAGGGTCCTTCAGCCTATCCTTGCGCTCGCGCACACACACTCGTTTTACCTCACACTCATTATAAGCTGCCCTCCTTTGTTCTCGGCAATCGACGCGCCTGGGCACCTAGCATCGACCGAGTATTCCCCACCCGCTATTGCAAGTTCAATTGCCTGCTTTGCCGATACGTTTAGGACTGTAAAAGATGCGTCGTTCTGGTGGTGAGTGACTGTATAGCCTCTGTACTTCACGAATGGTAACATGATGCAATATCCACAGCACCGCGTCTCCATCGCTTGCCGCAGCGCTTGGATTACACCTTGATCCCGGCACCCCTTGGTGAGTTCGCTCGAATCGTGATAGACGTGCGATGCGATCGCATTTTGACCGACACTCTCTGTTGCTGGAATCATGTCTAGACCTGTCCGAACCTCTGGTGGATGAGAAGGCACCGCTACCTGCTATTATCGTCACTCCGTCGTCTCCTTCGCATGATGGGGACTTTTCAATTGCTTTCCTCATGCCGCCTCAAAAACCAACGCTCGCGCAGCGCCTGGCAAACTGCCTTCCCACCCTTCCTCGTCTGCCATCCCAGATCAAACTGCCAGTGTCGCCTTCTTCGCCTGATATCGAGCCATCGGCATACAAGTCTCGTGCGCGCGCAATGATTGTGCTGCTGTTACTCTTGTTCGTTATGGCCTGCCATCTGGTTATGCACCAGATTGCCTCTGGTCGTCCGCATATCGACTTTGGTCTGGTGGCAAATGACGAACACATCAGCCTCGGCGCAAATCAGCATACGGATCTCTATAGCAACCCAGAGGATGCCCATGCTGCTGAGGATGCGGCTCCTCCCACTATTGGAGGTTGGTTCGACCTGAATGCGTTATGGGCACCCACCACGAATACGAAGCGGTCGGATTTCACTGTCTTGGACTTTGATGACGGGACGTCATGACACCTTCTGCAAATGTCCCGTTGGCAGGTTTCAGGATTGTCTCGCGCTGCAACCTCATGAATCAACACGATATATCACTGTTCGTTGGATTATTGATCGTACATCTGTTCCCTAGGGATTGGCATCCGTGTGTACGGATGTATTTGCATGGCACTTGCTGTATTTATTGTCAAATTCTGCTGACTTTAATGGTACTTCACCTTCGTGTGACTGAATTTAGGCTGTTAAACTCCTCGCTGGGCGAGAGTCTACTTTTATCGGCTGATCTTCCGAACATCGTTTCATTAGTGTCGTAGGTGTGCGCTTTTCAATTGCTTCTTGCTGACGTGCTTGCTGATAGACGAACATATAGCCCCTGCCGCCTTACTGTTGCGACTTTATTTCTGGGAGCTGCTCTTCGTAGTTTACCGCTAGCGATAGAGTGAATAAACACAAACAATTCACAAAGGAACAACATCTAGCAGGATGATTCGTGACATACTTTGGCGGCATCTCCCCAACTGGCATTTGAAACTATCAGGTGATGGCAGCCCGATGAAGCATCAAATAGTCCAAGGCCCCAATTATTATATACGTTCCAGTCTTCAAGCAGTTCATATGACCTCCAGGCGCTCTTAGCGATTGTATCGAGATCCTCGTGATCTCGCTCTGAATCTAAATACCTTTCTACGCGGCATGCTTGAAAGATGCTGGAGTAACGTACGTGCTCAATCTTACAAATGTGTTGAGCAACAAGTTCACTTTCTACGAGACAGATCATTTTTGCTGCGATTCAGGTTTATGTGCAATAGACCGTCGACTTGCCGATCCTCGAACCGGTAGATCCTCGGCCGCCCCATATGTAAGCGTATATTGATCCCGGAACTTCTGCCAGCTGCTCTGCGGGATAATGAGAGGGCGAATGCCGCTGGAGAATCCTCGGGAGTCATTCGCTGGTCATGGTAGTATGCACTCTCTGGCGCGGTTGTCCGTCTCCCCGGATAGAGTGAGCCTCGGTGGCGAGCTAGGCTTGTACTCTCATTATTAAGGGGAGGTCATCGGTTACAGTGAGCATCCTTCCTCCTCCTATTCAGTGTAAGCATCCCGTAGTGACCACCGCAGAAAGATCCGCAAGCCTTTTCACCTCTGCGGCAAAAGTTGGATACTGCAATGTCTTCGGACAAGGCTAGCGTTGTCGAATATGTAGATCATCCTTCAAAGGACGATCTACAGAAGGCGGAGAGTGATCTGCCCGTCCATTCCGAGCTGGCGGCAGTATTGGCGAAGGAGAAGCCGCGTAGGTCGTCAGTTCTCTTAGCCATTATTTTGTCCTGGTTTCCTGATAATGATCAAGGTCCATGGTCGAGAAGCATGATAAAACTCTATCTGATCGTGTTTGTTGCTTATCTGTGCTCGGCCACCAACGGCTTCGACTCGAATACTTTCGGAGGGGCGTCTGCAATGACCAGCTTTGAAGACTATTTTTCCGTGCATGGCGGGTCCAAGCAAGGTCTTATTGCAGCCTCATACGTGATAGGAAACATGGTCAGCCGAGCACGCTATGGCGAAGATGTTTAAGCTCGACCAACATGTCTTTTGCTGTTAGGTAGGGTCTCTCGGCGCTGGCCAGATCTCCGACAAGTGGGGGCGCCGGTACGGCATGGGCATTGGTTCCTTCATTTGTCTGGTCGGCGCAGTGTTTCAAGCGGCGGCCCATAATACTAACTACCTCATTGGAGGCCGTGTAGTGCTCGGTCTGGGAGCCGTGATTGCGCAGACAGCAGGTTAGGTGATGCTACATTGTGGCGGTGGCGTAGCTTCTGATGGTATGCTCGTCATGCAGGCCCCGCATATGTCGTCGAAATGTCGCATCCTGCCTATCGAGGTGTCATGACTGGAGCGTGAGCTTTATCACCTATGGCGTCTTTCTGAGCTGGTTGACGTGAAGACAGATATCAAGCGAACTTCTTCCTTGGGACCATCATCTCAACATGGATTGAGTTCGGTTTGTCATACGTGCCTGGTAACCCAGATTTCCAGTGGAGACTGCCCATGGGCCTTCAAGCTCTTCCATCCATTCTGGTCCTGATGTTCATTTGGTTCATCCCGGAGTCGCCACGTAAAGCCTTTCACAGAAATCATAGCTCGCCATGAGTGATTAGAATATGTTTCAGGTTGGTATATGGGCCAAGGGAAAGACGAGAAGGCGCGGGAAATCCTAACAAAGTACCACAGTGAGGGGAATATGGACAGCGAGATCGTCCGACTGCAGATGAAGGAAATGAAAGAAGTCATCGAGGTCGAGAGTGGTACAGATAAACGGTTCGTGTGATTCCTGTCCTGCTCTCTCGGGACAGATCCGTTGAGAGTATCGTTGTTTAGGTGGTGGGATATCCGGGGTCTTTTGCGGACGCGATCTGACCGTCATCGATTCTTTCTCGTCTTGTGCATCGCATTCTTTGGACAGTTGGATCTGCCACCAACCAGTTACTACTTCCCTCTCATGGTAACTTTACTTATGACGCTCCGTGGTGGCATATCGCGCTAACCTTGCATGCAGGTTGAATCGGCTGGTGTCACCAACGAGCACATGGTTCTCATGCTTAACGCTTTGCAAGTATGCATGAGTCGGTCATTGACAAACAGAGCATTGAGCGTCAGCTTCACGTAGACACCCATTATGATGATCGCAGCCCTAAGTGGACTGCGGTTCATTGAGAAGTGGGGCAGGCGGCCAACGCTTATGCTCAGCTCGACCGGCATGTCGTTCTCAGTGGTAGTCATCACGGTACGTCTCCGTTATCTTCGTATTGTACATTCAGCCCGCTTACTTGTTGTATAGGTATGCACGGCGTTGACACCGACGCATCCACAAGCAGGCGTTGTCGGCATTGCTTTTCTGTATGTGTTCTTGATTGGTGAGCACATACCTGTACCAAAAACTGGTGCATATCGCTCATTGTCTCAGTCTTCGCCTTCGTTTGGACGCCTATGCAATCGTTGTATCCGGTGGAGGTGCTATCATATAATAATCGGTATGATGCTGCATTTGTTGCGGTGTACTTCTCTGAGATTTATGTCGACTAGTGCAAAGGGCCTCGCCGTGATGAACCTGTTTGTAAACGCGTGTGGTCTCTTCAACACATATCTGCCGCCAGTTGCCATTGCAAACGTTGGATGGAGGTGAGCGCAGCTCTTACATCGTGAGCAGAATCGTCGACACTGATAATCTGTAAGATTCTACCTGTTTTATGCATCGTGGGATGCCTTGGGCGTGATCGTGATCTATTTTACGTTTGTCGAGACTAAGGGACGGTGTGTACAAATTGACATGGCTAACACCGAGATGAATCCAACTGAGGCTGCTCACGTCTTGTTTATTCAGAAACCTTGAAGAGATAGATACTATATTCCAGTCCCAGCATCCTGTGAGGGCGTCACTCGAGAAGCAATGAGATCATTGACTGTCACTTTCAGACTCCATCATGGGGTGTCCTTTTCGTCGTGTTTCGTATTTGTTTCATTTGTGTCCATAGCATACTATCACTGGCCCTGCAATGCAACTGCGACAGTAACGCAATTCACGTTGTCCAGAGCTTTCCTCATCCCACAAAAATCTGAAAATTTCACTGTATATGGCTGTAAACATGATGACTATGTCTACTGAGTGCTGTGTCATGAAGTTGAGGATTGGACGAATAATAGGCAGATCATGGCCTGCATGCTCAAAATGCGGGCTTAATCAGGCTTCGGCTCACTGCAGTTCGTGCCTGATACCTTTGGTGAGTTAGTCATAGTTTTATATGAGGTCAAAGAAGATATATCAAATTTTTCGACACCTTTGAGCCCCGAGATGGATCTCTGGGGAGAGAGAACAGGAGAGACACATGAGCATCAGTGTGACAAAGTTGCCACAGAGGATCGCCGGATCTGAACTCCGACAGGCACCAGCGCGCGGCAGCCACTCTTCTCGACACTCGCGCGCCACAATTCGCGCTCGTCGGATCAGTATGCCGGGCGGAATGCGAAATGCGGCATCCCGGCAAAGTGACTGATTGCGTGACATCACCGCGGAGAATGGTTGCATTGCTGTTGCAGTCCTTGTCGCCTTCCGGTATCATGAAAATCTCAACAATTTCTGCAGGGAAAATTTATTAAGGTACATCAGAAGCATGGCTAGCTAATGGAATAGTTCCGGAGTCAATCAGATGAATTCACGGACCACAGGAACTTAAAAGGTCAAAAAGAGGGCCAATGATAGTAAGAGCGTGAGTCATAAATCCTATATTCTATCCAGTGTTCTATCCATGTCACCTGGGTTAGGAGTTCCGAACCGATCGTGCATTGGCTTGAGCGCTCCGAGCTTGGACTCGGTTCCGCTCGGGATCATTGTCAGGAGCCTGTCCGGAGGCCGCGGCCCGCGAACCGCCACGTCGGAACAGTCCTGGTCCGCGTCGAGCTGTTGGGGACTCTTCCTACGACGGCGAACTTGCAGCAGCTTGCAGCACGGGGGACACAGTGAACACGCTGCTTTACAATTTTTGTTGCTACTAGTTTTTCTGCATGGACGGGCCCGGACCTCATATAGCAACGTTTCTCGGCCCGTGACAGGAGGCTGAGCACAGGCGCTGCCAGATCCTTCTAGGCGGACGTCATGCCATCGTGCATCATCTGCAATGCTCTCTGATCTCCTTCCGCGGCCATTTCTCCTAGCTCAAAATTATCATCGAAGACACGGCTCAGAAGCGGATTTGCTTATTGGAGCAGCATGGTCTCGGCTTGGCTGCCTTTGGAGGCATGGCCCGACGTCAGACCAAGACTCCTCGAGAGGGGCTTCCGTGATTACCAGTGCAGTTCGGGGCTAGACTGCGAACCGCCGAACTCTACCCCACTATATAGACGGCAGCTAGGGCGTCGCCGAGACTGCACCGTACTTGACCCCCTTCTCAAAAATCTCCTTACTTGCGAGACTTACTGAACAGCACCACATATCCTGGCCTCGAAAAAGTAAACCTCGAAATGTTTTGGTTATCAGTCGTGAGGTTTTTTGTCTTCAGTACGTAACAGATGCAGCTGTGATCGAGAACAGGCCATGGCTTACAATGGTCAACAGTATTCACCATCATCTGCGCAATCTGCGCCCTTGGTCTTTCTGCGCGGATTGTAGATGTGTCCAATAAACGCTTGGGTGGATATCCCAATTTCGCTGCGTTGGGCATTGCGACAGCTTGCCTAACTCTATTGACCCTGCCCGTGATGTGCGTTGTGTATACTCGGCTGTCAGATCATATTCTCAACCTCTCGTGATTGCAGGTTGATACTCGACATGGCGGCGTTCGGTTTCTTCACATCGACGATCAGTTTCGAGATCGTATGGCTCAGTGAGTATCTCCGCGTCGCATCTTGAATGTCTTGCTCAACAACATGAAGCCATCTTGTGGATACTATGGGTTGCCACGGCTGGCAGTGCCTCCCACCACAAGAACTCTTTCTTTGGCACCTGTCGGTTCTGGAGTGGTTCCGCCTACGCTGTTTGCAGAGAAACTCAGGCTGTGGAAGGATTTGCCTATGCAATATGGATTGTCCGTGAGTATCAGACGCCACCACGTCAGCGACATAGTAATGCTGAGTTGACCTATCTGTAGTGTTCTGCTATACTCTCATATTGATTGGTGTGGCCTTCTGGCGCTCCCGACACGGCCGCGGTGGCTGGTCGTCATCTGTGAAGGAGACCAGTGACGACCAACCGGCTACCGTGAACCAGTATCCCATGACGTCCCAACCCGGGATGACGCGACCTCTGTCTCATGTATAGGCGCAGTGACGTGACCCAGGATTCCATGTCAGCGGGGGCCGCTCCGTGTTATGCTTCTGATGAAATGTAACGATGTTTGCTGTAGCTATTACCATACTACCTACTATATAGCTTTCGCCACTTAACATGTGTACTTTTAGCAGTGTAACAGATGTTATTTCATTCCAGACCCACTGGTCTGACGCGTGACGTCGAGTATGCGTCCCGGCCACGTGGTCGTAATGCGTGCCACTACCGCGACCTTGTCGGACTTTGCCCCAAATGCACTTGCGATCCGCGAAAGCCCTTGGGGTTCTTCTTCCCGAAACAATTTCACTTTGGACCCCCGCAGTGACTGGCGGTCTGTCTCTCTCGTCATGGACAATCTCTTCTTGACGTTGGCTCAAGCTACCGGGGCGTCCGTGGATCAAGTGAAGGTGCAAAGCAAGGAACAGGCTCAACTCAACACACTGACACCTTGCTTTTTTTAAAAACTTTTTAGCTGATATCATGTCTTTTGGTATCCTATCCATTAGGCAGTGTTTTCGTTCGGATTCCCATAACACAGCCGAACTGGAGACACCTCTTCAATGTCGCCGTTACATCGTTCTACCTGCTCGCTGTGATGCGCATGGGTCTTGCATACCTACAATTGCTGGCCGATATCCTGGCTACATACTACATTGCGGCTAATACGAAAGGTTCCCGAATGCCATGGATAGTCTTCTGGTGAGTAATGTTGGACAGTCCGAAGAACGATGATCGAGCGTAACGTACCCCAGGCTCATCATGGGGCATCTGACAGTGAAGTACGTTTGCCTTTCTTCGATGCTTTGCCTACGCTAATTCCTGTAAAGCCACATAATTCGAGCTATTTTCGACTTCGGTTACGAAACATTCGAAATCACTGCCCCGCAGATGGTATTGACAATGAAACTTACGACCTTCGCTTGGAATGTCTTCGATGGAAGGAGGCCTGCAGAGGTGTGCCATATTCCTATCGCATCCGGGGACAGACCCTTCATATCATCTCCAGGAGCTAGATCATTGGCAGATGGAAAAGCGCGTTACAGACTATCCATCGGTGCTCGCCTTCCTCGGATACGCGTAAGTTACGCCATCTCAGTACATCATTAGCATCCTGATGACTTCAAAATAATTACTTCACTCGCAGCCTCTACTTCCCCGGATTCCTTGTTGGCCCGTCGCTCGAATATGCCGATTATGACAATCTAGTGCACGGAACTACATTCAAATCTCTGCTGGCGAACAAAGACGACATTCACAAGCCGCGAAAGCTTGTACCGAAAGGCAGGAAGCGTGTGGCTTACCGCAAGATGCTCATAGGACTAGCGTTTCTGGGTGCCTACGTGACATTTTCAGGATCGTTCAATCTAGGCGTGACCGTGCAGGGCTGGTTCGCGGAGAAGAGCATTTTATATCGGTATGCCCTGTGACAACGTGCTCAGATATTCTATGCTCACGCAGCATGGGCAGAATTGCCTATGTACAAATCTGTGGTTTCTTCGAACGCACCAAATATTACGCTGTGTGGACACTAACCGAGGTCTGTAGGCGCATTCGTATTCTGTTCGTGGCGCTCAGATAGTTCGCTCCAGGGGGCGGCTATTCTCACTGGCTTTGGCTTCACCGGCTTCACACCATCTGGTAAATCAACCTGGAAGGGGGCCGCGAACGTAAACATATACCACATCGAATTCCCTTCAAATTTCAAAGTACTGCTCGACTCCTGGAACATGAAGACAAACGTGTGGCTCAGAGAATGTGTCTACAAACGCGTCACTCCGAAGGGCAAGAAGCCGGGTTTCAAAAGCAGCATGATTACCTTCACAACTAGCGCTTTCTGGGTATGCCGTGCAAGATCATTTCTCCATTCGTTGCCCCCTGATGGTCACTCATTGACAGCACGGAGTTGCTGGAGGATACTATCTGACGTTCTCGTTCGGCGGATTCATCCAGACGGCCCAACGCCTCAGCCGCAGGCTCCTGCGCCCGCTCTTCCTACCTGCCACATACATTTCAGCAAAGAACGCTCCTCCTCCTCCGAAAACGCTTATCAAGCGAGCATACGACGTGGCAGGCGTTATTGCCAGCTTCATGATTCTCAACTATGCGGTGACGCCGTTCATGCTACTCACCGTCAGAGACTCCCTCTTGGCATGGAGCAGACTCGCGTGGTACGGCCATATCATGGTGTTCGGCGCACTCGCATTCTTCTACGGTGGCGGAGGGAAGCTTTTGAAGAAGCTGCAGGCATCGAGGGTTGCAGCGGCGGTTAAGAAGAGGGAGCGGTTGTCGGAACAGGCCGAGATCGATAGTGGAGCGGTCAGCGAGGCGGAGGCACTCACTCTGCCACCCTATGATGAGGCGGCGAAGGAACTGGAGGACACCGTTGAGCTCATGCGCAGACTGAAAGAGGGTGCGGGGAATTGATGGAAGGAGAGGGAGAGGTCATATATCACAAGTATTTTATAGCAGTGCGATTTGTAGCATTTAGTCTGGGTCCCTAGAGGTTCCGCTATCCACGCATGAATGCAGCATCAGGAGTCTTTGTACGTCCGTGGTCTTCTGAACTGGCGCAGTATCCGATGGGTGATGAAAGCCCTTGTGGCGGTTTGTATTCGACTCGCTGTGGCCCCCTAGCAGCCACAGGCGTTTTGGGCGGCCCCAATGCGCCCGCTGGCCCGCGACGCGTCGACAGCACCCACTGCCACGCCGAGTTAGCGTACGACATGTCTCGGCCAGCTACTGCTGATAACCTTCCTCCGACGGCTCGGGCGATAGCACTACTCCTTGCCTCTACACCGACAGTACAAGACGCACAGCCGGGTGTCCTTCACCAGCTGCTGGAATTCTCACATCGGTACACGACACAGGTGCTCTCTGATGCGCTCGTGTATGCCGAGCATGCGGGACGCTCGGGGAAGGTCGAGATGGATGACGTGACGCTCGCGGTTCAGGCTCGAGTAGGTTGGGAGTTTGGTGGGCGTGTGCCGAAGGAGGTGGGTAGTGCAGCGGCTTGGAATTGCCCCTCCGTTTTACCCGTATCTCACTCTGCTTTCTGCAGTACATCCTCTCTCTTTCCACGCAAACCAACTCAGTTCCGCTCCCACCGGTTCCAGAAGTCTTTGGTGTCCGCTTACCACCAGCTGCCGAATGTCTTACATCGGTGGACTTCGACCTCATCCCGAACAAGCCGCCACCAGGTGTCAAGTTCTATGACGAGGAGGCCGAGGAGATCGAGGAAGACCAGTCTGAGGAAGACGAAGACATGGAGCCTGCAAACATTCCTGCCGCTCCTCATCCGACGAGACAACCGCACGACCAGGCAGCACCCTCGCAGCCGTCAGCACCTGTTGGCGCGTTGCAGACCCCATCCGACATGGACGTGATGACGCCAGGAGGCGAGGCCGCCGAGGAGGGAAGCGAGGTGGAGGAAGAGGACGGGCTGTTCGCTGGGGGCGATGAAGAGGAGGAGAGTGGGGACGAACCCATGGAAGAGGTCAGTGCTGCTGCGACGAACGGCCTTAAGCGAAGACTGGAGGAGGATTACGACTGAGGGTTCCGATATGCTCGCTCGCATGAGCGTCTGCGCTGACGCAGTTATGTATTGTATTGTATTAGCCTATGCGAATGAGATGACATCTGATCTAATAGAGAACATGTACAGATGAGATGCGAAGGAGAGCAACGCTGGCTGAATTACAGGCACTATTCTCACGTCATTCGTTGAGCGAGGTAGGCGAGTAGTAGAACGAGCAATGTGATGACGATTATCACAATCCAAGAGCTCCATGCTAGAAAGGCAGCTTCAGCGGATGATTCACAGCGGATGCTAGGAGATGACGAACATGTTACTCCAAGAGATTCTGGAACCGTTACAACCCGGACAGTATTATCTGCACTCCCAGATATGAGAAGAGTAGAGGTAGTGTTAAATCGGAGGGTTGTTGGAGGGAAATCGTGTGCTTTGAGAATGGTGAGGAGTGGCTGCATTCATTATATGGATTGAAGATATCCAACATCGCGACATAGTTGATGCAAGCTTACCGCCAATGTTTGCGAGTCCAGTATTCCTACGGTGTAGTCCGACGATCCAAAGGCTAGGAATTTGCCGTTCGGGCTAGTTACCACTTTTCAGAAGCTATTGTTGAACTACGAGTCAAGAGACGCACCTCACGTCGAAACATGTCAACCCTTTGTCCCCCACTTTCCGCACACGACTCACTTCCCAAGTGTCCGTGTTCCATTTGCACACAAAGGCTTTCCGCGGAGACGATTTCGTCCGCGTACGAGGAGGGACTGTATTGCTAACCGTGTATAGAATCTTCTCGCTGTTGGGGTGGAACCTACGTGCGAATCGCGTACATGAAGTTCAGGAACGCAAGGTGTGATGTGGATGTGGAAGCAATCACCTTGCGGCACGGAAACTACTTCCCGCGTCTTTCCCCGGAAAAACCGGGCGTTCTACCATTCTAACCAGATCCAGCTCGGTCGATGGCTCCTTTCCCTTGCCCGAGGCATTCTCGTTGCTTCCACCCGTCGAGGTAGGCAGGGTGTAGACGAGCAAATTAACAGTCGTAGCCACAACAAGCTGGCATTCCCCGCTCGTCAGGATATAACAGCGATCGTCTGCACGATACGCTCATACCGTGGTAGAGGAAAAAGTCGCGTCGTACAATTCCCCCTTGTCAATGTGCAACGCGGACACAAACGGAGATAGAGATGGATAGCTCAGGATCGATAACTGTCCGAAGCTCGTTACCCTGTCCTTACAATGTCAATGTCGCACTCACATCGCGCGTTCCGCCCACAGCAAGTAAGTCACCGGAAGGCGAGAAGGTCGTTATTTTCTGCATCGAGGTCAGAGGGGTAAGGTGATAGATACCGGAGCAAACCTGAAAGTCGTCCTCCACATCATTCGGTGTAAGCGTGCTTGCACTGCTTGATAGAGACAGCCTGCAAAGGGTCAGTACATCAGCTCGTCTGGGGAGGATGGGTATATACTTGTCATCCTTGATGGCAAAGACACGACAGTTCTGGTTCTTTCCGCGCTGCAAATGCTCTTCCGAGCTGTTCACACCACACGCGAGCACCTTCTCCTGAGGATGGGCGGCCATACTCATGGGTGCATCTTCACCCTTATCGAGCTCTAACTCGTCCAGCAACACGATGGCCCTACCATCTTCTATGCGATAAAGACGCTGCAGCAGCGTGACAAGATTGTCCTGTCTCGTTCGGAGCACTACGCACCAGCTTGTTCTTGATGCCCGTCTTGGATTGGCCTCCGCCACCGCCGAGCACCAGCTCGTTCTGCGACAGAAATGCCGACGAATACACAGGAAACGCTGGCAGCGAGTGAGCCGCGTGCTTTGTCCGCATTTCAGTCCCTATCTGTGCACAAGTACAGGCAGCACGTTCAGGCGCGACACAAAGTGAGGACTTGAGGTAGTATTAGCAGGCAACGCTGCAGCCGCGCGCTAGACTTTGGCCACCCGAGTCCGGGTCCGGGCACGTGTGAGAATGTACTCCGTTCTCAGCCACACGCCAATGATAGTAGTACATGTGCGATACCACACCATGTCCTCCTGCTGAAGATCCGCTACCTCCTGCTTTGCATCCAGTTCTATACCCGGTGCATGATAATCCACAATGCTCATGGTCAACGCTGCCGCCACTGTGGTCCTCACAAAGACTGTGCGGGTATCCGCCGATGCAGGACCCGAACTCCCTCAGCTTCCACAGATCACAAAGGGCACTCTGGCAGGGATCGTCGTCGCAATTTCCGGAAACATCATTATCTCTCTTGCGCTCAACTGCCAGAAGCTTGCTCACAAACGCTTAGAGCAGAAACGCGAGGCCAGGGCGCGAGAGCTCGAGAGTTGTCCCACGAGCAGTGCGTCGGACAGCGATTCACTATCGACCGGCCACATCGATTTGGAGAGGCGACGCGTTAATGATCTTGCCCATGGAAGAGTCACAAAGAGTTCATCCCTCGACCCGCCAGCTGAACTTGTCACACTTGTGGAGACAGAACCATTGCTGGAGTCACCGATATCTTTCACCTCGTATGGTAGTGCTTCCGCCAAAATCTCGCGCAAACGACAAGGCAAATGGAAATTACCTTTACTATCTAAGCTGCTCGCTTCCCGCAAGGATAATGAGGACGTCATTCACGAGACGGATACCGCTCATTTAGCCACTACCCATGCGCTGACGCCTGTCGATGTCATCCCGGTCCGACCTGGTTCCGTGAATTCTTTGCACAGGGAAAGCAGTGATGAAGTTTGGGGTAATGAGAGTGATTACCTCAAATCCAAATTGTGGTATGTACGGGTAATCTGTACCACAGCTGCAATATCTGGTATGAACAAATATACGGATTGTTATGCAGGTGGCTGGGATTTCTCCTCATGAATATCGGGGAACTCGGCAACTTCATATCGTACGCATTCGCTCCTGCTTCGGTTGTCGCACCTTTGGGTACAGTGAGTGAACACAACATGCGTTCAGAAACTTGCATGCTCATTCGCGGCTCCTCGAATGCGTAGTTCGCTCTTATTGCCAATTGCATATTTGCACCAGTAATGCTTAAAGAGCACTTTGTCAAGGTGTGTTGCAACTATTGTCTCACGAAAGTTTCTTTTTGGCCTCATGCGTTGATGTAGCAAGACTTTTTGGGCATTATCATCGCAACGATCGGAGCTGTCACTGTCGTGCTATCCTCCAATTCATCGGATGTACAATTAGACACAAAGGGTCTCCTTCACGCTATCACCCAGCGCCCATTCCTCGCATACGCTGGGACTTACATTGGGGGTGCCGTGGTACTTTCTTGGCTATCTCAAGGGGAGTTCGGAAAGAGATGGGTATATGTCGATGTCGGATTGTGCGCCTTATTTGGTGAGAGATACCGAAAATATGTCTATTATCTCCTCTGACTGATGTTGCAGGAGGGTTCACTGTGCTTTCCACAAAAGCAATATCAACGTTACTAACGCGCGAATGGTTTGATGTGTTCACTGAATGGATCACTTACCCAGTAATCGCTGTATGTGCTCTCATCTACGCTACACCAAAGTCATCAGCTGAGCATTCGTATGACCAGGTATTGATAGGAACCGGCATTGGGCAAATCAGATACCTTAATCGCGCCCTAATGCGCTTCGATAGCAAGGTTTGGACGGTATTTCATTTTATATTTAGCTAATCTGACATGCGAGCCTTTGTCCTAATAGCTTGTAGTACCAACACAATTTGTTCTATTCAACCTATCCGCCATAATAGGCTCCGCAATACTGTACGGAGACTTCATCGAGGCCACCTTCCATCAAATAATGACATTTCTATACGGTTGTGCCGCTACTTTCGCGGGTGTCTTCATCATCGCATGGGCTCCGTCTGGCTTGGACGAGCCTAGTGAAGTAGAGGGTGCCGAAGATGACGAGTTGCTACCAGACGTCGATGAAGGTCCCACTCGCTCGAGGTCGGGAAGCGTGGCAAGAAGGAACAGGGCGAAGCCGGTTATTTCGGAAAGTACGACTGCATCCCCGGCGCTGAGATATCGGCACAGCATTGTTGGCATGTACGGGCTGTCCCCAGCTCAGGTGAGTGGCAATCTTCACTTGAGCTTCCATCGATGCATTCGACGCCCGTCCCTTCAGCGTGTCCTCCTCCTGAACCCCTCTCCGAGAGACGAAATTCATCCTCATTCACATGACCCGGAAAGCCAATTATCGTCAACCCCGGATTCGGTCCGTCGGCGAAGAGCCATCAGCTGGCTGGGTGATGATGGCGGGCACGGTGGCTGGAGGAGCGCGACGATACCCATCGCTGGGACCAGGGAGAGTAGCCGCAACTCGTTCGCACAACGAGAATAACGTTGTTAGCAGGAGCTTGGGTCGGACCCGGAGTCCGGATCGACGGCTTCCGCTGTGTATATGCATGCTTCGCCTTAATGATGTGTCTGGACATTCTACGCTCAATATACCGGTTCGTCAACGTCTTCTCGTTATAGACTATCTAATATACGGCTAGAGTAATGTTGAGTAGATAGTATGCCTCTTCGTAAATATTACGTCCTGTGACCGTGCAGCAGGGATAGTAATGACTACGTTGCGGTGATATTTCATTCCTGTACTTCGCGGAACACAGATGCTACGGAGTGATAGATACAAAAAGGGGACTGCCAATGCCAATAGGCAAGGATCCGGAGCATAGATGCCTCGTGCGAAGTTGGATTGCAACAACGTTTGCTATCGACCGTCGCCTCGCCGTACGCACTCGCCGATGAGCTGCTCTCGTCGCCCTCACGGTCGTGATATCTGACTGGTGCGCTTTATAAAAGCCCACTGAAGTCAATCTCACTGAGGCACGCTATTTTGGATCTTCACACTTACCGCTGCTGGCTCAACTACAACCCTCGAACACTTATGCTCAACGGCATCTCTATTCCGTGGCACAGCGATGGGGAGCTGGCCACCCAGACTCTCAAAGAGGAGTCCAACAACCGCTTTCCCTCGTTCTCCGCAAACGACGCAGTCGCGCTGGGGCTTTCTGTGCGGAAGCGCCTCCGAGCCTCTTCGCGGCATGCGCGAGGCAATGGGATGGTGAATTCCATACAGACGATTGCCGGCCACATTTTATTCGCGTGTACAGTGGGGGACGCAGGAGATGTCAGCCTGGACAGCTGAGCCTGTTCATAGGTTGGTCAACTTGCTGTACGAGGCAACGCGGTTTCAACTGGTGATGCGACCTTCGGCTACTGATGCTATCTGCCGCGATGCGCGGGTGTACAAGGCATGATTGCCATGGTGCGTGTGACAGGATACTCGAGCTACTATTTGGAAGTGGCCAAAGGTCCATAACAGCTTGTGGGCCAAGGTGAATACCGCATCAGCGGAGGGGGTAAGAGGAATTTGCTTCGTCGAAGGTATATTATTGAGACACATACCGCTGCAGCCTTTCCGATTTGGCTTGAGGTGTGTCTTATCTGGTAACAAACACATGATGAGAGTGAGACGTTCCGCAGGTAAGAACGCTCCGTGCTGTCCGATCGCGGTGGTAGCTGCTCAAGCACGGTTGACAGTCGTGTATGTTAAGGCTTTGCAGTGCTGACGGACAGCTGAGACTGTCGTTCATGAAAGCTGGTTGTCGTTGCAATAAGAGATTACCTCACGAAACTGAGCAAGGACGGCCATATACCACCCTCAGTACCGACGCCCATAGCTACAGGTGGTGGTCGAGAGAGCATAGTAAGGACTTGGTTCGATGTCTGCGAGGCGTCCTCAATGTTGACCATAATCTGTCCAGTCTCACGTCGTCTGATGCATTGAACATGCACCATGGTTCAGGGATTCGAGAACAGCACGACCTATGATCTATCACATTACAACGCTAAACCAGGAAATTTGGATATCAGAGGCTGTACAGACGTGTGCAGCCTAAGGTCCTCGATTTTCATCCGAAGACTCCTCGGGATTTTTTGGCCGACTGAGCACTCGAATACTCTCTGTATAAGATTGTCAGTGACAGTTCCTCAATGGCGCGTATATTACGCACCGTGCTTCAAGAAAATTTGCCGGCGACCCTGCGGGGTGTCCGGAGGTGCCTCTGGGTCAGGTTCCCGCAGTTCGAAGTTGGCTTCCACATATACAAAGTATCCTCTCCTTAAAGTACGCAGATAGGCGTTCGAGGTCGGGTTGAAGGATAGGACATTGTGCCACGTTGTCTTCGGTTCCGGCCTCGCTGTGAAAAATCAGCGGTAGCCCAAGTAAAAATGTCAGTCTTTGTGCTCACTGCCTTCTGGAGTGCTCCCAGGGTAACTGGTAGTCGCTACAACGTATCTTCGAAGGCGATGATAGTAGGACAAATATTCGCACGAAACCTGCGAAAGCTAATCCGCACCGTATATATTCTTTCTCGTTCTTGGTGACCCGGACTTCAGGATCAACCCCGAGGCGTCCGATGAGGATGAGTTTCGCGAGGTCTGCAGCGCGGGATGTGGTGGAAAATGCCTAAGATACATATGAGCACGCGCAGAACCATGCTAATTACTATACGCACTCGTGAGGACGTACGGAGAGCACTCAGGCGAGACATATGGGACAGCATTTCCCCGGGAGTTGACTGTAGAGAGTTTGTTTGAGCTGTTTGAGTGCAGGATCGAACTCAAACGCGCGTGACGCGCGTGACCCACGTGAGCTTGCCTTCAACATAAGCGCCCATATTGTTTCAGCAGAATCCACCTCTTGTTCTCTTACCATCAGCCTGTCTTACCATCAGCCTGTGTTCCTGTGTCCTTGCATTGCCAGGTTTGCGCCATGTCTAGACACAGATACGTACGAAATATCGATATCAATGGTAAGACCGGCCGGAAAAATACAGTGCAAGTTGATTGAACCCTACTTCTAGAGGAGCTGGAGGAGGACGTGCTATCAGACGGGGGAGAAGAGGAGCTTTTTCCAGAGGAGTACGGTGCGCATATACCTACCGTAAATCTGTTTCTGTTGCTAATATACACGGTTATGTAGAACAGCTAATGCGCGGACTTGAGCAAGTCAGAGTCACTCTGGGCTCTGAAGAGCAGTCCGACATATCTGATGAAGATATCAAAGACGCACTTTCCTACTATAATTATGACGTCCATCAAAGCGTCAACTGGCTTTTGGGTGAGTGCCATCAACAGTGGCATGATGTTCTCTCCCATAATATCAATGCAGAAGAACAGGAGAAGAGAAAGGCTGCTAGAGAGCGTAAAGGTGGGTCAGCCTCCCTATTCTCGTCCTATCACCTTAGTTGCTGCGATTTTCTTGCTCTGGTGCTTGCTATCATGCCATTGATTACCGCGAACCCCATTGCGCGAAAGCCAACTTTTGTCCTCCGACCGTCCTATGAAGCTTCGACGTTTATTACTTCCGTATCCTAGGCGAAAAATCACTCCCTCCCCCACCTGAAGCCTACGAGGATGCTGGTGCTGATATGCGAACCGTATATCCTGGTTTACCGTCAAGCGCTTCAGGAAGATCGAACATTCCTTTGATTAGACTGGCACCGAGTCAGCCGCAAGAGGAGTTTGAGTATTCTGACTATACGCCGAGCGAGTCTCCACGCCGTCAGCTCAGCACGATCACAGAGCGGACAGAGCAGAGCACTGATACAGGTAGTCTGACGCCGAGAGCTCGCGAGCCTATAAGTCTGCCAAGGACCCCATCGGTGGCAAGCACCAGCGACTACGGAGAGGTAATTGGTATGTCAACATATATTCCTCTTGCTATTCGCGCTGCTGATAACTTTCCGATTCCAGTCCGTCCGGACCAAGATACCAACTTGGTGCCTTCTTCCTCGTCTGCTGCTCGGCCACTTTCCAATGTCGTACCAGCAATATCAATGTCGTCCTCCGAATCTCGCACGGCCACGCCTACTACCATGTCTCCTGTGTCCACGTTCAGTGCGCCTGTACCGTCGCTGTCGTCCATCCCGGACATACCGTCCTTGCATACGAAGAAGTCAACTATACGTCCTGGAAGCGAGAAGAAGTCGAAGTTATCTGCTCTTGCCGGCTCTAGGTCAAGCGCAAGGTCAGCGGGATCCAGTGTCATTTCCGCGAGCGAAGCCTCTAGGTCTCATACACCATCGGAGGAGGAGTCCTTGGCGACTTTCCCGTCGCTGAGACCGACTTCGGCGTCACTGATGTCGAAGAGATACGATGATCAATCATCTATCTCTGGAACGTCATCCATGTCAATGCATGTCCGCCGAGCGGTTCAGACTGCTCTAGATCTGGAAGCTCCTGACCGGATCGCGAGTTCATCTGAATCACGCTCCCATCATCACCACCACGCTTCGCTCTCGCAGGATCCTTCTGAGTCTGCCACTGCTCAGCCGCTACCTGAGCCACAACCTCAACGATCTCCTCCCCAAGCAATGATTTCTTCCCCTCCTACGAGGACAGCTGTGCCGATTCCTGAAAGTAGCGCAGCACAGCTACATCATCGCCGTTCTCACCTACCAACCCCGCCGGCCACTGAGCAAGCAGCGACGGTGCCGCCTCAGGAAATTGCTCCTGATAGTAACCTCCCAGTATCGGAGGTGATACGCCTCCCTGCGCTATCAGAAGCAACAGCTCGTCAATCCTCGAAGCTTGCGAAGCTGGCTCAAGCAAAGGCGCAACAGGGACCGTGGATGCCAAAGCCGAGGAAGTCGTCAGCAGAGCAGTTTAATCCCTTGCAATTGCGTGGCAGCCACACGAAATATATGATGCCGATTGCCAACGGTCCCACAGCGACAACAGCAATTACGACTTCATACCAGACTCTTGCCAGTCTAGCAACGGCAGCGCGGTCTGAGCTTCCTCCTTCCATACTCCCTTCAGGACGCGTGGGCGATTTTTTGGCACCAAGAGTGGATCACGGAGGAGTTGAAACGAAGACGTCGAAGTTAGCTATGAAAAGCCGTAAAGCACATCAGAAACACGAGCCTGAGCCTGCTATTGACAAGCCCCAGCCCACTCCGAGCGAGCTTCCGCTTTTCTCGCCTAAAGGCACCCGCACCCGTGCGTCTCCATCGGCCTTCGCTGCGCTTCTCATCCATGACATTCCTTTAATCGTGTCCGAAGACAAGTCCAGCACGCGACACGGGCGGACGGAGAAGGGAAGGGAGGAGAGATCACGCTCGTCAGAACGCCAGGCGGCCGGCTATTCTACCAGGACTCGCACTGGTTCATTGAGTCATCGTGAGAGACGGGAGACGGCCCTCTCCTCTGTGGCTGAGCTGTCACCGCTGGCTGGTTTCGCCTTCGATATACCCAGTCCTGACGATATTGTATCCAATGCTCGGAGGGGGACATCTTTGGCAGCACGTTCTGGTTCCGGTCCTTCATCAGGGTCGCATTCTGCTCCTTCCGGGCGTTCTGCTCGCGGTCATTCTGCAGTTGACGCTGTTGCTTCCTGATCGAGCTGTATTGACATATGCTAACTATTCAATTTGTATCAATATATTCCAGCTGCTAAGGAACGCGAGAAGGCTGCGAAACTGGCACAGCACAAAAAGGAGACTCAGACGAGTGCAACAGCGTCGGCCGCTGCAAAGGTACCTAAAAAAGTGCGTATCCCGATGAAGGGTACCGCTTCACCCTCTCGATCTGGGGACCAGCAACAACTAGATTTGTCCGGGCTGAATATCACGGAAGAGATGCCTCCTCCAGAGGAAGAACCACCGAAGGCGGCGATTGCACTTGATAAGCTATTGGACGAAGTCAAGAAGGAGTTGCAGGACCGCGAACAGAAGGAGAAACAGACGTTGAGTCTGGTTGTGATTGGTATGGCTTTCAAGATTCGTCCATTGTCTGTACTAACTCCATGTAGGCCATGTCGATGCAGGCAAGTCCACATTGATGGGCAGGCTCCTCTATGAAGTGGGTCGTATGGACGAGAAGAAGCGCATTGCGAACGAACGAGGCAGCAGCAAGATGGGAAAGCGCAGCTTTAGCTGGGCATGGGAGCTGGATGGAACCACTGAAGAACGTGAACGGTGAGACTACGCTCTGCAAGTTCTGCATTCCTTCTTGCAGGTTTGCTGATCTGATGTGTAGAGGTATAACAATGGATATAGCACTTCAGTCCATCTCTACTCCTCACAGGGAGATCACGATATTGGATGCGCCGGGGCACAAGGACTTCATTCCGAACATGATTTCTGGCGCCTCACAAGCTGATTGCGCTCTGCTCGTCGTAGACGCCGCCATTGGAGAGTTTGAGGCCGGTTTCCAGCGGGGTGGCCAGACCAGAGAGCACATTCTCCTGGTTAGGAGCCTTGGTGTCACGCAAGTCGTCGTTGCGGTCAACAAGCTAGATCAGGTGAGTCGCTCGAGGGACCTTCATAGCTTGATCATAGAAAGCGCTACTAGGTGCAATGGGAGAAGTCGAGATACGACGAAATATGTGACGCGATGAAGCCTTTCCTGGTCCAGTCCGGCTTTCAGCCGTCAAGGACGAAGTTCGTGCCCGTGGGAGCGATGGCGGGAGTGAATCTCACTGCACGCAAAGGACCATACGCCGACGCACTCAATACATGGTACAGCGGACCAACTCTGCTCGACTTGCTAGGTGAGTCGTTACCGTCCTATGGAGAATCTGTGTATAATGTAGGGCTTGCAGATCGCCTGAATCCACCTTCTCGTGACATAACCGCGCCGCTGCGATTCCCCGTATCCAATGTATTCAGAGAGCAAGGATTCGGTCTCGGCGTGTCAGGTCGTGTGTGCGGCGGTGTTGTGCAAGTCGGGGAACGTTTGAGAGCACTACCTGGTGACGGTACCGCGGTCGTAAAGAGTATGTCATTGTGTCCGAAGGCAAAGGTTTTGCTGATGGGCTATCTTCATGAAGCAATATCGAACGATGAGCAGAGTCTGCCGTGGGCGGCAGATGGCTCTAATGTCACCCTTTATCTGACATCGGTGGATCCTGCCCACGTTGCCATTGGCAGCGTCCTCTGCCGACCTACAGACCTCGTCCCCTTGGCCAGCGTGTTTACAGCGAGAGTGATTGTTTTTGATATTGACATACCTATCACTGCTGGTGCATCAGTGCGTGGACAAGTCAATGAGATAACTGATGTCACACTCACCCTGAGCTAGATTGAGCTTTTCCACCAATCGCGCGATGTATCGGCTTCGATATCGAAGGTGGTAGCTACCCTAGATCGCGCTACTGGAACTATCATCAAGAAGAGTCCTCGGTCTGTCCTTGCTTCCTGACCAAGAATAATACGGGTTGTTCATGTTCCCTACAGCGTACTGCCGAAGAATGCGTCTGCAGAAGTACAAATTTCTCTTCGTAGCGCCGCGATGAGCGGTCCATCAGCCAAGGCCCAGCCGATACCGATCGAACCTTTCGCCGTAAATAAAGACATGGGCAGAATCCTCATTCGCAGGGGTGGGGAGACCATAGCTGCAGGTGAGTTCTCTGATGTCTAGACAGTGCTCTCACTTATGCTGCTCAGGTATTGTCCTGGGAATTGTGGCATGAAAAGTGGTTGAAATCTGATTCATCGTGGATGTCAATTATTGTCGAAGCACACGAACTAGCTCTATGTAGAATCGCACTGTCTGTAAAACTGTACCTCCATATAGCTTCTCACTGACGGATGTAGACGCATGTACTTCCGAGGGCGCGTTGCATACGGGCTCACTTGTCTATGCATATCATTGAATTCGTCTGGTAGCGATCCAGACGTGTACCTATACATTGGTTTACTACATCTTCTGTTGTGCCTGCTCGACGTATCTGTCGCCAACGTCTATGATCTAGGACATATCCACCACACAGCGAATGCAGTTGCCATCCTGCAAGGCATAAGGATAAGCGAGTTGCAAGCTCATTAGAACGCCAGTACTTACGTGCATATCGTGGAAGCCCTCATTGATGTCGGCCAACGTCCGGTTGTGAGTGACATACTCATCGACTTTGACCTTCCCAGCCATATAATCTGCACACGCCGTCAGCCCACAGCGAAAATTGAGAAGGGGCGACTGTCGTACCCTCGACAAGGCCGGGGAGCTCGGTGCGGCCCTTCACGCCACCGAACGCAGTGCCACGCCACGTACGGCCAGTGACGAGCTGGAATCTGGTTCACCCAAGTGGATGAGGGCGTGCACACGCTGTATACCAGTTTTGCACTTACGGGCGAGTAGAGATCTCCTGGCCAGCAGCCGCGACACCAATGATGGTGCTGACACCCCAGCCTTTGTGGCATGCCTCAAGGGCAGCACGCATGACGTGGACCTATGCGGGAGGATCACCAAGTCAGGATCACCAAAACATGGAAGGGCATCAGAAAATAAAACTTACATTGCCCGTGCAATCGAATGTGTAGTCCAAACCACCATCCGTTAGCTCGATCAGGTAGTCCTGGATCCTGGTGCCCTCTGGAAGCTTGCTCGGGTTCACAAAGTCCGTCGCGCCGAACTTGCGTGCCCAGGCCTCCTTCCCGGGGTTGGTGTCGACTGCGATGACGCGCGACGCCTTCACGAGCGCGGATGTTGCGATGACGCCGAGCCCGATGGCGCCACAGCCAAAGACAGCCACCGTCGACCCGGCTGGATATATGCACTTTAATATGGCGTTGGCAAAATGTTCGAAGGGACTCACGGATTCCCGGCTGTTTGACCACTGCACCCCAGGCCGTGGTGATACCGCAACCGAGTAGGCAGACGCGCTCAAGGGGCGCCTTCGGGTTGACGGCGACCACGGAGACGTCCGCGACAACGGTGTACTGCGAGAACGTCGATGTACCCATCTGGGTCAGGGTGAATATGCGACATCGCGAGGGCATTGCGAGACAAACATACGAAATGGTGGAGCTTTTGTCCCTTGCATGTGAAGCGGACGGTGCTGTCAGGCATCAGTCCCTTACCCTGAGTAGCTCGGACTATATATGTGCGTAAGTAGTTGGACGCGTTCAATGCAGGACAGCTAGAAGCACCTTTTCCGCAGAGGTTGGTCTTCCCGCTCTTGCAGAACTTGCACTCGCGACATTCTAATCAAATGTCAACCTTTGCAGTATGAAAGACTGGCAGCGTCGACACTTACCGGCGGTGTACAGGGGGATGACATGGTCGCCCTATGCAAAACGTTCAGTTCTTTTCTCAGCGGAGATATCGGCAATACGTACCGGCTTGACGCTGGTGACGCCCTCGCCTACGGACTCGACCTGGAGACGATCAACCACTGATGCGAAGAACGTTATGACAGCGACTCACGATTCCGCCGCCCTCGTGGCCGAGGATGACCGGGAACACTCCCTATTGATGAAAGAAGCGTTAGATGATCAATGATTCGGACGATGTGGTTGGTTGCTGCTGACCTCAGGGTCCTTGCCACTGCGAGTGTACTCATCGGTGTGACAGATGCCTTTACCAGACGATGAGCGCGGGGAGATTCGTGACAGGAGATTACGTACCAGTGTATAGAATATGGATGCGGACTTCATGAGGACCCGGAGGGGCGACCTCGACCTCCTCGATCTTGAGGGGCTCGCCGGCGGCCCAGCACACTGCAGCCTTGCACGTTATGGGTTTGCCTACGGTCGACATCGTCGTGTGTGTGAGAGAGGAATGAGCGGGCTCAGAAAATGGACCTCTGACGTCGATAGCCCGAGGCCTATATATGCGCGGGCCACCTGTTCTCCCGAAACTTATCACTTGATCACTCCGCAAGATTATTGCTCAGCGGTCTTCCGTCTCGTGAACAATCCTGATCATGTCTTTCACAAATCTCTACTACAAGCGCGTGAGTCAGTCCGACGCTCCGCTCGTCGTCGAGCCCACCATGTGTACATCCGTATCTACAGGCAGTAGCTACCGCGCGGCCGTGCTACGTCTGCCACAAGCCGACGACGACAGTGCTCGCGACAATTCAGACGGTGGACTTCATCTACGTGTGTGATACGCATCTGTCGGATCCCGGCTTCGCGAGTCAGGTGGCCGATGCGAGCGATGGCTTGGGGGGCAGCGGTGCGAAGGCGGGCCTTTCTCCGGAGGAGATCGCTAAGGTGAAGCGGGAGTGGGAGGAACGCCAGAAAAAGAAGCAGGAAAAGGAGAAGGAGAAGGAGAAAGGCACGGATAAGGACGGTAAGGCTGGACAGGATACCGACGAAGGAGAGAAGAAAGGGAAGGAAGGATCGAAGAGCCCTACCAGCGTACCGGGCTCACTCAGTTCTGGCTCAACCACTCCTTCGACGCCGGCCGTCAAGCCTTCTCACCAACGGTATACACTCCACCGCGACATATTCGCAATGCGCCTCGCCGAACATCGCAAGCGGAAGCAGGCTGCCCAAGCCCGAGAACTCGCCCCCCGTCTACCAGGAGCTCCAAGAGCGGGCATTCCAAACAATTGAAACGGTGAGTGCTGTATGAGTGATGTATCGCGTTGTTCACTCACTTGAGAAGACTTTGGCCATCTAATAGATATCCCTTGTGCTTGATTTTCGTGCTACCCACGCTATCTTGACGTTTTGTATGTAACATTCAACTACTAGGACCTCACGCGGATCTTCGAATCGGATGTTGGAGAATTGCGCTTTGGGAAGGAACGCCGGAAGCCCACGGGACGGATTCATCAGTCACGACCGGCTAGAAGGCAAATGTGTCCTGTCATGAGGTACAGGTGCGGATATGCTCGGTGTTGGTGGGTAGAGGCGCGATAATGACGATCAGGTGAGCGTGTCGCAGCAACCCTGCGTGATCACATTCGCGACGCTGAACGCGACATTTCGCTGTGTTTGCTCCTAGACTTGAAATTGTATGCTGCCAAGGGACGATCATACGAGTTGCGACCTCGCGAACGACAGTCGATGCGTGAGTGCGACATTTGTAAACGCATCGTTGGCTGCGCGTATTTTCTAGTCATCATCAGCACTGAATCCCTCGGGAAGTGCCCCTCTAACAGCTGATAACAGTTCACGCTAACAGAAATAAAACCTAGTAGCTGCGACAACTAGACGTCCCGGTACCGCAACACGGACCAATATCTTCCCATAAATGGTCAGCGATTGAGCCTTTAGATGCTCCTTGCGCCCCGACTACAGACCTTCTTGCTGGATATCTGTCTAGGTCGCAGTCACCCGAACGAATCCATAAGTGCTATATCGTGTACGTAGTCGTGAAACGTATAGTACTTATCAGTCACTGCGAGGTGGATTGTGCTTACATAGGTATCGTATTGTATATGGTGTTACCAGAATCTTTACCTAATATTCACGCTGCGAATGGATTGCAGTCACATACCATCGCCCGTACCGCGAAACTCGCAAAGCTGCCCAACGTCAGCCCACCCACCAAGCAAAAGCTCGCCACCGTCGCCGCAACATCCACGTCCTCCGTGCGCCCTCTTAATCGCGGGTTGTGCGTCACCGACGGCGCGGCCATCATGCACATACTCGACACGTACCCGTTTGACAGCCCGAACAACAGTAGGATCAGCATGAACAGCACGTCGGAGGTGATGATGGGCCGGATCGCGGCGGGAGATGACCACTGAATGTTGCAAATGAGGAAGAGCGGGATGAAGAGCGTGCGTGCCAGCGCGAACGTGAGGAGACGCCGTGCGGACCAGACGAGAAGGCGCGGGAGGGAGCAAAGGAAGCGGCCAAGGAGGTCGCCGACGTTGTACACCAAGAAATGGATGGCGCTGAATAGTAGCTGATGCGTGCCCGGATTGCTTGATCTAACTGAGATGGTAATAGGAGGGTAAACGGACTGGCGACACTGATGTCAGATATGGACCTTGAAAGTGAGGACCATCAATGCTCACCAATGTTATAACGAATACGTAGGCTACAGCAATGTTATATGGCAAGTTCAGTCTAACTAACCGGAGCATCTGTACTCTGCCATTCATGGTCTTACGGCCACCCGCGGTAAGGGTATGCGTCTCATCAGGAATCTCGCCGCTGTCCACGGGAGGCGGTCGCACACGAGATCTCGAGCGAGCCAGCAAGGTTCGGTATCCTGGGAGTTTGGTCATCCACGCTTGCGCGAACTGAGTGAGCACGAGGAAAACCGTAGACAGCCCGAAGAAGAGCGCGGCGGAGTTCTCCTCTGCTGTCCTTGAGAGCGCTACTACATCCACCTGCGGAGACGGTGCAATGCGTGTAGACGCGGCGGCACTGAGCACCTGCACGCCGCTGATGATCACGCCCACTGCCGCCTGGCCGGACATGACGGCTTGCATGGCTCTATGGCCAAAGAGAGAGGCGACCGCAACGACAGCTGTCTGCAGATACGAACCTGCAGACGCTTGCAGCATTCCGATGAGGAGCACGAAGGTGAAGAAGACACCGGGAGGTGGGTGGAACCAGGTGCTCGCGGTAAGCAAAGCTGTCAGAAGTGCAAGCCATGTCAAGGAGAAAAGCACACGGCGAGAATTCGATGCCTTCCACAAGATGAAAATTAAAATGGGAGCTTTGCGAGTGAATTGTAGTGCATACCTGCTTAGAAGTAGCGGTCGCGTGCGCGAGTAAGCTAAAATTGGCGATCGTGAACGTCGTGGAGAGATACGACGAGAATGAGCTTTGCAAGCTCGACCCTTCTAGCCTCGACATGAAGTATGGAGTTGCTGTGATCATGACTGGTTGTGTTATGAGCAATCGCTATCATAGGTCCAAGCAGAGCGGCATACCGTTCCATGGTAAAAGCACGGCACATCCCAGAACGAAGTGTATCCAGCGTATGCGAGCATCAACCTCTACCGGGGGATTGGCACTGTCCAACTCGACGTCGCTCTCTTCCGAGCTGAGCTCCAGCGAAGGCCTGAATGGCTCAGACGCGACGGGTGCCTGGGGTATCGGGTGGTAGACAGCCTCGAACGCATGGTCTGACAAGGAATGCCGACGGTTCTCGGTCATTGTCGACTAGTGCTAGTGGGCGTTTGACACGAACCAGTATGATGATAAGACAGACCTGCCAGGCGTGGTGGAGTTTCATCGCGAGGGCGCGCAGGGGACTCCCAAGCTCTCTATGTCCCAAGCCTGACTAGCTGACTGACCGAGTTCGGCTCAGCCAGCGGCAACCTCGGTCGACTACTGTCTACAGCTCGTGTCATTCCTCGCGCCTATCTCGAGCTCGGTCCAACCTGTTCAGCTCTTTCTCGCGTTTAGGAGACTCCGTTGAAGTGTAACATAAAACAGCTGACGAGGCTTATAGCCTGAGAGGACGACTCAAATCTAACGCCATTCCCTTCCATGTCGAAATAGATCATAGCAACATGCAAGCATTCCGGGATATCACACTAATGAGTTAAACACCGCGGTCCACCATCCGTCGCGGCTGTCTCTGTCCAATCACTGCCAACCACAGAAAACCTAATGCAGCGCGCACCTCTCGCCTGCGCACCCCGCTGCGTCTCCACATCAGCTTCATCGCTGCAAGAACGCACAGTATGAATGAGGCGTCCAGGAATAGCCGCCGCACGATGACCATCGCCGGCGAACGGCCCTGCCCGTTTGCCAGGAACGATGTGATGAACCTGAGCATGGAGAGGACACGAGCAAGCGGGCGAAGGACAAGCGACCACATGCCCATATCGTCCAGATCCCACTCTCCACCGTTGCCCTGCATCGCGGCGCTCCACCGAGGAGAACGCTGACCCGGAGAAGACAGGGATGTTGACAAGCGCAGCGTTTCCAGACTCTCTATCCGTTCGCTGAGAGATGCCATTGTCGCCTGCATGTTCTCTACGGCCCGTTCCAGCGTTGGTCGGGAGGCTGGGCGCGCCGGTACGTTGCCGTAGGTAGCGTACGGCCTGCGCTGCTGCTGCTGGCTGGGTGCTCTGTATCCTGCAGGCGGAGGGTATGCGTGGATGGATGACGTCAGATCCGTGGTAGATGCATGTGAGAAGCGGTCCTGATAGGAAGATGCGGTTGGAGCGTAACCCGAAGAGGCGTGAATGGGTGCCGGTTCTGCAAACGCGGATTCGGTGTGGAATTCTGGCAAAGGCTGAGTGGCTGGGACGCTCGCACTGTGTGGCGGCGGAGACAGCAGTGACCCAGCCATCGGCGTGCGGTAGCGCCTCGAGGACATGGAAGATTGAGGGCGGGTCATCTGAGTGCTCTGCGCATAGACGGAGGTAACTGGGGCCACGCGGTCATTCTCGTCCTCCTCTTCCTCTGCGCTGCTTTCATCGGTGCGGGGATCGTGCATGTGGCCGGGCATAGGAAAGTCAGACTGACCACTGAGTTGGACTGCCTGGTAGTGAGGCGAATGGTCGTCAGACGTGGTCGACCCGGATGAGCTAGATGCGCGCGATCGCGAGAGCGAACCTACATCATGTGAGTGCATGACCGTAAAGTCGAAGGGGGAAAACCCACCACTCATGACGAGGCTGGATGGATCTCCATATGATTCTAATTCCCGCACTAAGTCCATCGCGACTGTCTTGTCGGAATACCTTCGAAGGACCTAGTAACATTAACACGTTTTGATCTACCAGCAAAAAGCATTGGTCTAACCTTTAATAATGCGTCAACGTAGAGCATCTTCGCCTCATACGAGTCCAAATCTTTATGCTTCGCCCACGCGTCCCTACGCCTCACGTCACGCAAAGCGTCGAATACGTACTGTTGAACACGCACCATTTAGCCCTGCCCAACATGTCCCACATATTCGGTCTCGGAGATTGCACATTCCCGACGGTGGCTGCAACCCATCCAGCATCATGTCAACACGGCTCGAAAGAGGGCCAAGGACGCGAGCTAGGCACCTTGTTTGTACAGACTGCGTACACGTAACCGTGAACTCGAGGGAACTGGCATGCAAGGTGGACAACTGCGACGCACCTGTACATCGTCAGCTTCTCCTCGTACCCAGTTTGGATTGGGCCATTCTTGGGCAGGCTCTGAACGATCTCTACCGCGCGGTCGAACTGTGCGTCTATGAGGGTTCGCGGATCCATTTTGCGGCGAACAGTCAGTATTTGCGCAGCTAGAAAGTATATACAGTGACGAGACGACTGTCTGGTGACTGGAGAATCTGGGGAAAGTATGGGGAAAGCTGCAATGTTGTTGGAATGTGATAATGATTCAAGCTTCAAGCTTAAGCTCAAGTGCGTGTCGGCTATATGTATTTTTCCCACGATTACAAAAGTTCCTCCGGATTGATAAAAGCCTCCAACGTGGCCTAATAGGACTATTGTGCACAGTGGCTTGGCCAATTGTGCACAATACGACTAGACCAGGTCGAGCAGACTATGCAACATGATCATATTCTCACTTAGAGTACTTTCCACCTGGAATGCATGTCTTTTGATCACATTTGCAGCGTTGGCACAAGGCGAACGATAGACGAGATGAAGCAGGATCATGCGACAGTGTAGACGACTATGATGATAGCTTCGGACGGCTAGTGAACCCTGGTGGAATGCGAGATGTACCCTCGGCCCAACTGAACTTCAATGAGCCAGGTATCTTCTCTTCCCGCTCGCTGACTACCTTTCCTGAAGAATTCATTTCAAATAGACGTTAGAGAGCAGTCGGTTATGCAGGAGCACAGAAACGCACCTTTCCATGTCAAGATGCCCCATGCCTTGCCATGCTTGCCCTCAAGCTTCAGGCTTGTCCGTGTGACCTCCCAGTAGCAGTTCGGAATCCCCTTTGACGTCCACCTTATCTTATGCACCCGCTGCCCGACACCATCCTTCGGATATCGCGAGAGGACTTCGTAGAGGTTTCCTGGTCGGTTGGTGAGGGACGGAGGAAGCTGTTTTGGCAGCAGCTGTCGGATGGCGCTGGCGAGAGATGATGACATCTGGTAGACAGAGCAAGAGTCAGAAAGTCGTGAGGGGGAAGAGCTAGAGAGAATAACTTGCCCGTGTGCAAGGTCGAGCCTGAAGAACGCGGCAAGCGCTTCCCGTTGCAGGTTGTAATAATTCAGTCGCCTTGGGCGCTTCACGCGACGTCCTCTTGTTTCTTCACCATGTACTCACGCAGCCTTCGACTTGCCACTCTACTTCCTTTGAGATGCAACGGTCCTCTCAAGCAAACCACCAGGCTTAACTCTACCATCTCTAGTCCACAAGTCGACACTCTCGGAATACCCACCAAGCCCACCTGGTCCGTGAACGACTTGCTATCGTCATATCCCCAGCCGACTATCTCGGCTTCCACCCTCAAGAAACTACACGAACTATCAGCTCTTATACCACCTGCGGAGGGCACCCCGGAGCATGCCAAGCTGACTCGCGAGATGGAAGGTCTGGTGAAGCTGGTGGAAGCAGTAAAGCTGGTCGACACGACTGAAGTGCAAGTCGGACAGGATGGTGAAAGCGTTCCGGACGGGAGGATATGGGCTGAGGGAACAGGAATCGAGCTGGATCACAACAAAGCGACTCTTAGCGACTCTGATACTCCCTCTGGCCGCGACCTGCTGCGCCATTCCTCTCGAGCGCAGGACGGCTTATATGTCGTCGATGCCGACAAGAACAAATAGTCAGCGGTTGCCGCAGTGCGCACGCGGTCTCTATTAACTGCATACTCCAGGCTGGCAGCTGGCATTCGTTCAGCAATATGGGTACATGTATACACTATACACTATACACGTCATTTGAGCCTGGCAAGAACGCTACGTTGCATGGAGGTCTTCGCGCAGTGAAGGGCTTCCTGTTTCTTGAACCCACGATATGGTGGACATGAAGGACTGATGTACACGTTCAAAAGGAGCGGACCTATTAGGGGAGGTCAGAGTGGGCGATTCTCGCCCGATTCTGAGTGTCGCTGCGACGCCGATTCTGGTCGACGCGGAATTGGGCGCTTCGAAGGATCGCACCAGAATCGTAGCTTTTTGAGAAGCGGCTCGCGAGCCGCTTCTAAGCTCAGAATCGGCTGGCCGATTCTGCATAGCTGGATTCTCTTTACCACGTACTCAGTTATGATGATTTGTAAGCAGACTACATGTGCAATCCACATTTTTACAAAACTCGGTGATGTGAATACAACAGCTCTTTACCATATTCCTTGCGATGTCTTTGGTGTTTAATGTGAATCTTTGTATCATCAAGATGAGCCCGAAGTAGATTTTCTGCTCGGTGGCGGAGCTAAGTCCGGCGGGGTATAGGGCTGCGTAGGGCCACCAGTACTGAGTGGTAAACTCTGATTTATGAGACTTGAACAGTACAATTCATATTGTCTCTTAGAGCTACTCGACATAAAAGGCAAATGTCCAACTTGCCCATAGCAGAATCAAAAGGACAATCGTGTACTGGAGAATTGGGGGTGTTCAGAGTGAGAACCCGATTCTGCATCGATTTTGTGACCTGAAGCGCATGGAGAATCTGGTCAGAGTCGGCGTCAGAATCGGGTGAGAATCGCCCACTCTGACCTCCCCTATTATTCCGCAGTTGAATCTACAATAGCTACAAGATTGTACAGATATACATCGTGGAAAGAAGTACGAAAATGTCCAAACAAAAGGGGGGGATCCATGAATGGCGACAGAGTGCAAAAAATCAGCACAAAACTCATCGCTTCCACCACCGACGTCTGCCCCAAGTCTATACAGGCCTCGTCGTTTTACTACAGGCGATTGTGGCCACCAGTTGAGCCGAAACCCCCCAAGCCACGCACTGTATCCTCCAATTCCTGTGGTAAAGGTGAATTAGGTGTGAGCCAAAGGGACAATCGCAGCGACGCTCACCTGAACCTCCATGACCTCTGGCGTAAGAATGCGCTCCAAAATGAGCTGTGCGACACGATCACCTTCCTTAACTGGCCAGTATAGGATAGTCGTAAGCACACGTTCGTCAAAGACAAGTCCAACGTACCCTCAAAGTCCTCATCTGATAGGTTAAATAAGAGTATGTAGACAACCCCCCGGTAGTCAGCGTCGATGACACCTGCCCCTGTATCAATCATGAACTTGGATGCTGGATAGTCACCATGTCAACGAGCAGGAAGTGGATATACCAGACGCGTGTCATACCTAGGCCACTACGCGGCGCGACGCGTCCGTATGTCCCTGGGGGGACCGCGATAGAAAGCTGCGTGTCCACCATAGCCTTGCCCCTCGCTGGGACGACCTTATTCTCGGCACTGCGAGGAGTCTGCATTAGTAGTGGAACGCCATAGACACATCTTATCGCATTCAGCACCTGCACAAGTCGTACCCTGCTGAGAGTGGCGAACCGCGCGTCGGGAGCTTTGCTTTATCGGAAAGACGCTTGACGCGAAGGCTTGAGACGGGAGCGGCCTCAGACTTGACCTTCCCCGACTTGAGCGAGGACCTGCGTCTCTTGTTTGGTCTTTGTTCCATGATGACTGAGGGAAGAGAGCGGGGAGAGGACGAGGCGGTGGTGATGTGGTATCTGGCCAAGTCGCGCGCGCAATTTCCCCTTTAACGGGACGCGTGAGCTGGGTTTGAAAAAGCGCGTTTACTCCGCCGTGCGCGCACTCGTGACCGCGCAAGCCACGCGGCTCGAAGGCCACCATCATCAGTGCACCTTCTTTCTGTTATGTATCCGGAATGCAGATGAAGCTATCTTTCAATGAGCTCGAGCATCCTATCACACATTACTTCGGCAGGCAGCAGCAGTCTGCAAAGGGCAAACGGAAGAGCCACGATGTTGAAGCGTGCAACGAAGGTCTGCCTAGAAAGGAGGCAAAGTTGAAGGAGAACGATGGGTCCAAGAGAAGTTCGGGTTTCCGACCAAAGGGACGGAATAATCAGCGAGACCCTGTTGTCTCTGTATACGACGCTTTTGGCACCGAGGCGAGGACTCTGGCCGCTGCTGCGATGAGCAGCGATCGTCCTTTGTCTGCTTTCAAGAGGAGCCACGGTGAGCTGTTATACGCACTTCTATGTCTGGTGTCGTTTTATGACATCACATAGACCCCAAACCAGCCAACATGGGTGATCTGACTATCGACTTGACTTGCGACGAGGACCAAAATATTTGTACTAGTAGGAACACTCCAATCGAGAGTTCCTCGAAGGCCTCCGCTCGTTCATCCTTATACTCTAGGACTCCAGTTCGTCGCAGAGCCTCATCCAGAGTGGCCGCCACCACGTCACTTCCAACGCCACCTCCGACCACAGCGAAGGGCAAACCAAGGATACGAAGTCATCGGTGGTCGCCAGATTTCGAGGCGAGCGAACACGCGCCTCATGCATTGTCGCCTGAGCCGTTCGTCCTGTTGCCGTCTCCGAGCTCGTCAGCTTATGACTCTTCTACGCATGATGCCATTGCTGCCCATGACGATTCGGCCCCCTCTACTTTCTTGAGGCATTCTTCTCCGCCACTGAAGTCGCGATGTAACGGTCGTTCGCCCGAAGATCATGATAAGAGTCTGTCATTGTACGCCCATAGAGACGCGGACAATATTGTGAATGGAAGACATCAAGAAGACATAGCTCGCAGCAAATTCATCTTCTCGTCCCCAGCAACTCCGACCCCAACATCGACAAACTGCCTACTTCCACCTCCATGTTTGCAATCTCCCCGCGAGAGTCCTGCTGCGCCGCGGCAGGCTACGCCGCGTTCTACATCCTCACCCATCCTGCCGTCCACGTTTAGTCAGGACGCTACATTTGTACCTTCATCCCAGACTCAGGAGATCTTGGAAGGCCTCTACTCAGACACGATCGTTCGACCTCCCCAGACTCGCGGCATGACTCGCAGTCTTCATGAAGACGAAATTGTTCCTACCTCTCAAAGCCAGGAGAGAGAGCTCGCTAACACGCACAATATTTTTACCACTAGAACTTTCCTATCCTATCGGCAGGTAGTACTGACCTCTCAAGCCGAAGAGGAAGAGTTGCAGATACCCACACATCACGATATCCGGATTCGCTCTACAACCGGGGATGTTGCTGGTAGTCGAAAAGTTGGCTCACCCAACGACATGCCGATCGACATTGCAACGTCAGTAAGCCGGTTGAACATGACAGTCCCGGTAGATCTTCCGGTACCGCAAGAGCGTCAGTCCTCACATGCAACCCCTCCTGTAGGAGTGAATGATCATATGAATGATCGCATATCGTACAGTTCAGAGTAAGCGCCACAATCACTCTCATGATGTACTCGTGCTGGGAATTGACCCTCCATGCTCTAACAGGAAGAACTCAAACGCGGGCTGTGCTGCGAAAGAATCAACTGATCTACTGCTCTCAAGACATGCAGTCGATGCTAGGACATCATCTGACGAGTTGGCTTCACAAATACGCACATGCCCTCCAAGCATACCGATGTCAGTGAATGAATCCTATGATGGCGAAACATGCGATATGGACGAGATGCCGACGCCGTTGCGACAGTTTCGGGACATGTTTGGAAGCGGGGCTAGCTTGCTGCCGTCGCAGCTATTGTGCGGAAATGACGTATCGTGTACATGCGATGTCTCTGAACCAGGACAGGGACGACAAATAGACAAAGAGGAAGCGGATTCTAGGACCGACAGTGAGATGACTTCGGGGTCCGACGTAGTTTATGCAGGTCAAGGTCCACCAGCGTGCAATTCAGGCGATTCGGAGGCACAAGCGAAGGCCACACAAGTTCCGAACGAGAATGTACATCTTGTTTCTCCTGATTCTGAAGCTCCCTCCAACAACGTATTGGTCGATGACGCTGCTCGTGGACGTCCTGCAGAGGCTCCAGCTGAGCAAGTCAGCTGCTACGGCCTCGGGACGGACGACGAACATCTCGCACTAGAACCTCTGCCGGGTGACATGATTTTGCCCTCTGGCTATACATCAAGCTCGCAAGGGTCTTCCATACCGTCCACTATCGTAGAGGACTTCCTCAGGACCTTGGATAGAAGCCAAATTCAGTCGATACCAGGTTCATCGCAGAAGTAGATAAACGAGCGGACGCGCGTCCGCTGTGCAACCTGATGTATCACAGAGCACAATTGTCCGTGGAGCCTGTTACTTTCATTTGATCTTGTAGAGAAGTTGTGTGTTCTTGTATCATGTACTCGCAACCGTGCTTTCGTACCTTGTACGTACTAGTATCATTTTGCCGGAGTCGAATTGTATCATATTGCATCGGGCGCCATGATCCATCGACATTAAGTGAATCTTCTGATAAGATAGGCCGCCAAAGAACCGCCGTCCTCTCTTGAGCTCAAGTTGTCATCATGGAATAGAGTACTTCAAGCCGACGTTCGAGACATCCCCGACTTGATTGAAGTTCTGAACCGAACTCGACACAGACATGCACTTGACTATATATGATATGGCTCCGCTGAGCGGCCGGCCGCTATTCCGAGCCAGACATCAGTGCGTACTTCCTGAGAACCGTCACGATACTGAACGCTATATATATGTCGTACAGGATGAATCGATGACAAACCGGGCCGAATCGTTGATATGGTATAAAGGAGGCTGTTGTTCCCTTGCCGTAACGTACAGGTAATCTGATCTGTCGTCTGCCAACCGATCCGTGAATATGGCTGCACTCGACAAGCCCAAAGTCATCATCGTCGGCGCAGGGATCTTCAGCCTGAGCACGGCATACTATCTTGCTGAGGATGGTACGTGACGATCCTTTAACGAGGCTATATACGAACTTAACTGATCGATCATCATCCAAGGATACGATGATATCACTATCTTCGACCAGCATGCCTACAATTCTAAGGATGGTTACAAGTTGAACCCCAATTCGACTGCAGCATCTGTCGATGAGAACAAGGTCTTTCGGGCATCATACGGAGATGAGCTGTACTATCAGCGGCTCGCCTACGAGGCGCGGGAAGTGTGGAAGGCTTGGAACGATGAACTAGGTCCCAACAAGGAGCTCTTCGTCGAGTCGGGGATGCTACGCGTCCAGCACTCGACACAGCTGGATGACCTCGAGCGAAAGACCCTCGCAAACATGACCGCGGAGGGCCTCAGAGACACACAGTATATCCTGACGGATGAGGAGGACAGACATCGTGCTGCCGAGAACGGTTGGGCGCATAAGCTGCTCCAGTTTGCTATTCCAGAAAGCGGTGGCAAAGAGACATTCGAGGCCGTCTTGGACACTACAGCCGGATACGTCTACCCAAGCAAAGCGTGCACTTTCCTCGCTGACAAACTACGCAAGAAGGGCGCCCGCTTCGTGGAGGGCCCCGACGAAGGTGTCTTCGCATCTCTCCAGGTCATTGACCTTGGCGGCTCCAAGCGTGTGGTCGGCATCGTGACGAAGGACGGACAAAGTCATCCAGCTGATCTCGTCATCGTGGCTTGTATGTGCTATTATAGTTCCTGGATATCTTCGTCCACCTCAAATGTATCACGTACAGGCGGCTCTGCTACATCTATGCTTGTACCAGAAGTCAGCGCAGTCTTGGAGGCTACTGCGGGAAGCGTTGTGACCGTTCGCCTACCTCCGAAAGACCAAGCACCTCAGCTCTGGGACAAGTATTCACACGACAAGTGGCCTGTAATAATCGCTCATGACCCTGACCCGACTGGGAAGAATGTTGCTAGTCGCAGCGTATATTCGTTCCCGAGGACAGAAGATGGGCTCGTCAAAATTGGCTATCGAGTAACAAAGGTAGGTCAATTCGCCCGATGTGCTTGACCGATACTATGTGCTGTGCGACGTTCCAATAACTGAATCTTATGTTTGGACAGTATACGAACTATGTGAAGCTTCCTGGATTCAAACGCCCTATTTCAGTTCCTTTGCGTCCCAGCGTCGACGACACCTCCATACCTCTGAAATCTATCGAGGGCATCAAGACCTTCGTATCTACCTTCCTTCCTGACCTGGCGGCACTGCCCATCGCCGTTACTAGGTTGTGCTTCTACACTGACTCTGTCGACAACTCTTTCCTCATTGATTATCTTCCGGGCTACAACGACTCGCTGTTCATCTGTACTGGCGGCAGCGGGCACGGCGCCAAGTTCACACCTATACTAGGCAAGGTTCGTCAGTTGTTCATGCCTGTCTACGTCCCTGGTTCAGCCATCTTGTTCTCGTCTAGCATGTACGTGATATAATCCAAAAGAAGCCGAAGACAGTACTTACGTATCATTGGCGATGGCGTCCGGAGCTTCCGTTGGGTAACGGGCTCGAGGAAGGCCCTGATGGACCTAGAACGCTCGACAAGCAGCAGCGGGCGACCCCCGAGGACCTGCGTCGTGCAGGGTGGTGATTGTGCGCATATATGGTGTCCATAGCATGATGACACCACTGTAGCGGCAACGAAAATTCTGTCCACCTATAGGTGACAAATGTGAGATAGATGCAGGAAATAGAGGGTAAAATCGATCCGTATGCTGTCATTACTGCTGTCATTACCACTGTCTATACAACACAGTGTGCGGCGAACTAGCGTGTAAGTAATTAGTCGATGCAACATATCGAAAACATATTCACACACTTATCAACGACCACCACCGGGTGAACGACTATCGAGATCAGTTCCCAATACAACACGAGGCGGCACGTTAGGTTATAAGCCTCAGCAAATCCAGGAACATCGACATGACCCGTTTTCAAGACGTTGATTTTGGTGCAACGATTCTGATTGCGAGTTCGGGTCGGACGCCGCCGCCGGTACAAATTTTTTGAGCCGCGTTTCGAAAGTGTAAGAATTGGCAAGGGGGAAAAGCTGGCCTCCATCAAGATCAAGTGCCAGCGCTCCAGAGACTCGTTGTCTCATGCAGCAATCGGTAGTCAAACAAACGTTTCATAGCGAGAAGAAAACAGCCTGATGAATGAACTAGAATAACAAGCAGAGCATGTGCAGACAGACGCACGATCATGAGCGTACCCGATGCATTTTCATTGGCAAGTGCGAAACAGATCACTGCTCCACGCGATCTCAGGCACTCCAGCAGCCGGACGAACGAAGGCTGTCAATGAGGTTCGGTCAGCTTCCCTAGTGCCATGCTTACAAGGAGGGCCGGAAATGGCTAAGGTGGCGTACTCTGCATATTCCTTTGACGTCCCCTGGGCAGGATCTGTCGTGGAAATGGAGTGCTCCTGCGCGCGTCCGCAACTCCTGTGTCCCTGAGTCGACCTCTCAGGGAAGTAGGGAGATACACGTTCTCGGCGTGCGCTTGTCTTATCGGACCTCTTCACAGTGTGGGCGTTGTATCCACCGATCAGCAGGAACGGGAAGTCGATATAGCTCCGGGCGGGCGTACAGCGAGCCCGACGACAAGGGTCAGCTATAAGTGATTTGCAGGGCGATGTAGCTCTAGTTTTAGTAGACTGTGATGTTCCGATTGAACAGAAATTCTCCGAGAGAGCATTCGCCGAGTGATGGGCAAGCAACGTTACAGACCCAATCCAAGGAGGCACGGCGTTGGCAGCTCAGAGACAGAGAAGTGAGCCAGCTGGTGGAATGAACTAGACGTACCAACCAGTCTGAGCCCAGACAAGGCGAGCAGATAGTAGAATGTAATTTTAGTTAGGGGGGTCGTTTCTCGGTACTTGATCATAATTTAGTCTCAAGAACAAGTTGCATCATAGCTGAGTAGCTGTGCTTGGCGTTACTGATATTAACAATCGAAATGAAGGCGATTCAAGTGTTCTTGCTCAGTCATATTCTTGCGCAGAAAGCAATTTGATGCTCAGCTTCAAGTTCATAGGGCTACGGAGCCATCGCGGACTTGAAAACTGATCGGTATTGACATTTGTTGACCAAATCCTTCTGGCATCTTGCCTATTCTGTCTACATCGCAACCCAAACATGACTTCTGCCGACCCTCGCTTCACGACAGATGCTCGATTTTCCAGCGAAGCTCAGGCTGGGTCATCCAAGTCACAGGAAGCGCATAATGAAGAGGAACCAATAAATGATCATAACATCTCCGGAGATGAGCACAGTGGCTCAGAGGCGAGCTCTGCAGACAGCCTAGGAGAAGGAATGAAACCCGAGGGCTTCGCTGGCCCTTCGCAAGAGGTGGTCAAGCCTCTCACGCCCGAGGCGTTGGCTGCTTTCAAAGCTGCACAAGAGAAGACTGGCGTCATCTACATCTCTCGCATCCCCCCTGGGATGCAGCCCACGAAAGTGAGACATATCATGAGCGCATATGGACATGTCGGAAGGGTGTATTTGCAGCAAGAAGGTATTATCGCATTCTCGTTGATATGCTGATGTGTGCTCATGTAGTCCAAAGACCCTAAGCAGGCGTACCTGCGGCGAAAGTATACCACAACGAAAAAAGCGCATTTTACGGAAGGTTGGGTAGAGTTCAAGGACAAGCGGGTTGCTCGCTCCGTCGCCGAAATGTTGAACGCGCAGCCCATTGGAGGAAGGAAGGGAACACGGTGGAGGGACGATGTTTGGACTATGAAGTATTTGCCCAAGTTCAAGTGGAACATGTTGACGGAGCAGATTGGTGAGCATTCTTTCACCGCCAACACATCTCAATCTCATTTTCCCTTCAGCACATGAAGCTGCTATGCATGCTGCTCAGCTGCGCGTAGAGTTGTCTCAGTCGCGCCGCGAGCAGCATGAATATCTGAAAAATGTTGAGCTCGCACGAGTGCTGGGCAAGCGAGCTGAGCGGAAACGTAAAATAGGAGAGCCCGAAAAGGAAAGTGCGGCAGAAGCCGCAAATCGGCCGCGCGATGACAAAGGCGGAACGCAGACAAAAAACGCAGAGAAACCACGAAAAAAGCAAAAGAAAGTGGGCGAGGACGGTAGTACAGATAGACAGCTCGACAGCGTGTTGCACAGTATTTTCTGAAATGTATATTGACTCGCGAGGATCGCTCTGAGCGTCTCGGCGCGATCGCGGCCCAATTCAATCGGAGTTCGAAACGCACTATGAGTAGCGCACGCGTCCCTTGTGTTCCGCCATCGCGAACACATTGAGCTTGTCTCAACGAGCGTCGAGAAAGCCGTGCTCGTCGTTGTGTTGTCGCGTCTCAAGAGGTCTGTGCTTCCATCATGCCCGCCTACTCTCTCTCACAGCTATTGATGATCAGTCTTCGCGTGTCTCGTCCTCTTTCTCTCTCAGTGCTTTCCTCTGAACATGTCCTCTTGGTCTGGTGCTGCTTACCCTCCTCCTCCCCGCGGACGCTCGCGTTCTCGCTCCCCTTATCGTGGGACATATCCTCCAAGACCAATGTATCCTGAACCTGGTTATCCCGATCCCTACCGTGGTGATTGGGACGTGTATGATAGGGAAAGAGCGTGGGCTAATTATGAACGGGAAAGGGCCGCATATGAGTACAGTAGGCGAGGAAGAAGTCGGAGCCCCCCGTTGGACGAAGGTGATTACCATACAATACCGAACGTATTACCGTGCTCACTGACGCGTTGTAATCTAGCCAGTAGGAAGCGCCGACGTTCGCTGTCGCCTTGGGAAAGGGAGAGGTTCGAGCCGAGGCCTCGATATGGCGACGATTACGGTACGTAACACGATAACTGTTTACACTGCGTGACCCTCATCTCGTGGAACACTCAGATGCGCACTCGCGTGGGTACGGGTACGGGTCACCACACCGTGGTCAATACCCTCCTCCGCCTCCCTATGGCTCACTGCGGCGAGCGCCCCCTGATCCCCACACCTTTGATTATCCTGCATCTCTGAAGCAATACGCGGAATGGTTCCGCTTCTATCATCCTCAGCAGGCAATAGAGGAGGACAATGCGGATAAGGCAGCAGAACAAGAGGCAGGGGACGGCTCCAAGCCCCGCAATGGTATTAGGACACGATGGGAGAAGTACAAGAAGGAGTTTTCCGCGCAGCAGGTGAGTTATCTGTCACTCATTCGTAGAACTTGCATCTCATCTGTGCCGCAGCTTCAACGCATGTACGACCATCACCGCAAGTCACCTTGGTTTGCGGAAAAGTACGACCCTGCTCCCGAATTCGCAGCCATGCGCGCGAGGGTCAGGAAAACTGGTTGGAGGGGAAGAATGGATAATTTTTTGCTCGATCTTGAAGCAGGCAAATTCGATCCTGACCTGAGCGAACGGGAGCCAGAGGCTGCCTCCCCGACTAAGGAAGTTCCGCCCAGCTCGGAACCTACGGCCAACGGCACTGAAGCAAGCGCGGGCCGATCCTCCCCTGAGGAGTCAAAGCAAAATGGTGCAGGTGGTAACGCCGAGGATGATATGCAGTTCAACGTCGAAGCTGAAGATGAAGGCGGCGACAATGACGCCAGCAGGACCGACGCGAATGGCAAGACCTTTGCAGACAACAGGCGCAACAATCGAGGGGAGGAGATCGCGGTGCAGCCTGAAGGCAATCAAGTTATGATTCGAACAATCCCGCCTGACATTGGTCGTGCGAAGTTGGAAGAGGTCAGTATCCTGCTGGATTGTAAGCGTTTGTCTGCTGACTAATGACTGTAGGCTTGTGGTCAAATCCCTGGCTTTGTGTACCTCGCGCTGGGAGATCCACTGCAGAAGAGGAACTACTATCGTGCGGGATGGCTGAAGTTCACTGACGATGCGGACATGTCAACTGTGATGGCCGAATTGTCCGACAAGAAGGTCGGTGTAAGAGCTCTTACTATCTTCACATGCTCTAATGCTATGTTGACAGATCGAAGGCTTCAAATTGCATGTCGCGCACAATACGAAGCCATTCACGAGCAGGGTACGTTATGCTCCGGAGGTCGCAAGCAAGCCGGACAGGATAGCAAAGGACCTCGCCAATGCAAGAAAACTGGCGTCTCTGCTGGAAGAAGAGTATGAGACATTGAGGAAGATGAAGATTCCGCCGAAGCAGGAGACAAACGGTGATGCTTCTGTGAACGGGGAAGCGGAGCAGCCTGATGTAGGGATGGGTGAGGCGGCGGTTTCTGAGGATGAGGAGTCAGAGCCGCGAGAGCGGGGAAGCGAGGCTGTTGAACGGCGGATTGAAAAAATCATGGCTGACCTGAAGGAGCATGGTCAGGTTGACACTGCCGACGAGAAGGCTTTGGAAGCGAAGAAGGTAGCGTTTTGTTGCTCAGTTCTCATGCGCTTATTCCAACACTCACACCTTTGTTCTGTAGGCGGTAGTTTCGCTCGACTTGTATCTTGCCTACCTTCGTGCTGCGTTCCACACATGCTATTACTGCGCAGTTGTTACGGATCACTTAGAAGAATTGCAGCGCAAGTGTGTGAAGCATGTGAGGAAGCCAATGTCGAAAGCGTTGCTTCAGGAGGTTAAAGCGGCAGAAGAGAAGGCTGAGCAAGAGCAGAGAGCTCAAGCAGAAGGAGATGATGAGAAGAAAGAGAAAGAGGTTGCAATCAAGGAGAAGACCGAGAGCAGGGATTGGAAGAGGAATGGTATGTGAACTCAGTTGAAAGCTGTTCTATCCTGTGGAGGAATGACCATTGTCTTAGACGAGCGATGGCTCGAATGGCTCGATTCTAAAATCGCTCTCCTGATTGACCGGAACGGCGTCGACCCCCGAGACTATGGAGGCAAGAGTTATGAAGAGTACGTCTATTTCTCTGTGTTTTGTTGATCTGATTGTTCATGGCATACAGGGAGCTTTCCAAGGCGGCTGAGCCGCACATGAAGCAGGAGGACGAAGGAAAGTTTAGGTGCAAGACATGTCAAAAGCTCTTCAAGGCCACTTCGTTCGTAGAGAAACATATCGCGAACAAACATCCCGAGCTGGTAAAGCACTTGGAAGAGGTGAGGCACGATGCAATGCTCAGTGCACTACAGTTTGCTTATGGCACAGACACCTTCGCAGATACCCTACTTCAATAACTTCGCGCTCGATCCTCATCGCATTCAGCCTTTCGCACATCCTCCTGCTCCCGTCGGGAATAGTCAGGCTCCTCCTCCTCAGGCTTATGGTCTGCAAGGTCCGGCCTATCCTCCTACTGGTGAATATGGCCGGGGTTCGGCTCCATACTCAGGGTCGTATGGGGGCTACCCACCACCATACGCCAACGGTGGATTCTGGGACCCCTACGGGTATCCTTATCTACCAAATGCTTACCCTCAACCCCCGCCTCCACGCAGAGATGAGGGTGTAGGGGCGAGGCGCTTAAGCGAGCGTATTAGTGGCTTCGCCCCTGGATACGAACAGAACGTGGAAGTGCCTCCTGTTCCGGCTTCGGCCGGCTTGCCTGCTAAGCCAATGGCGACGTTGGAACCTGGCCCAGGTGGCAGGCGAAGTGGACGAACAAGTGCGGGTGGACCGCCGCCGCCGCCGCCGCCCGACGCCAAGGAGGACCCGAGAGCGGCAGCGGGGAGGAAGATCAGTTACCACGACATGGACTTAGTGGCCGAAGGGGACGTTGAGCTGCAGTACTGAGCTATGTATCAATTGTTCACTTCTGGAGTTGCTGGAGTTGCATTTCATAACAATATTCCTCGTGGCAAACGCATGTTGAGATGCGGAAATGCTGGCGTATGATGTAGTTATTTGAATATCACCTGTTTCGAACCGCGTGTACAATCTCTATCGCCTGCAGCAACTGTCAGCGCGAGTCTGGGGTCGGGCTGCGGTGCAAGGGCGGAAGTTGATCCCTGCACTGCCTCGCGCATGCTGAGTGCATGCAGAGGATTCGACGCGGCCAGAGTGATGGAACGCGATAGACGTGCCTCGCAGATATGCGAAGGCTGAAGTCTCGTTCAGACTCTGAAGAGTAGGAGAAAGGGTCAAGGAAGATCTAGCACCTTCCAGGGCATGCGGGGATACTATTTGGCTGTATTTGTACACCGCCCCCCGAATTTGGTATGCCCGACTGACCGCGAGTATACTAGCCGCCACCGCCTTACCTCTACCGTCCTCGCCTCTCCGCCACCCTCCCGACCCTCTTCTCGCGCTGGCGTCGTAGGACGTCTTCTAGCCGGTTCATCCTTGCCTTTGGCCACCGGCTATGTCTGAGGGGACAGTGCCCGCCGTGCCCGGCCTGCCGACTGTTGTTGCGAGTTCAGGGATTGACGAGGAGACCCTGGGCGAGGGGGCACTCATCGTCGAGTTGCCTTCTACATCCAAGTTCGGCATTGCATGGCCCTCGGAGCCGTCACCACCCATTGCGTTACCCCTTGCGGACCGTCCCGTTATGCTCAGCTCCTCGGAAGGTGAGACCGACGTGTCGGAGGAAGAGCTGAGCCGCCCTGCGAGGAGGAGCGCGCGGACGGTGGAGAGCGATGAGTCCGAGTTTGCAACACCTACCAACCATATGGATTCAGACCAGAACCCGCTCGACCAAGCTGAGCATCCCCCTCCACTCCCTCGATTGTCTCGCGCCTTCTCGATGCCTCTCCCATCTCAGCTCGGTTCGTTGCAGAACCCAAGACGGATCGCTTCGTCACCGTCTGGTGATGCGCCACTCGCCATCGGCGAGCTCCCGCCCGAATGCTGCCATTTTCAGGAGCTTTCGCTGGAATTGGCGGACTCGGTACAGATGGTGATACAGACGCTACTCCAGCTATCCCCGCCGCAAGTTCTGGACCCTGCAAAGGAGCAGTTCTCTGCATGTTCTCTCTCCATCCCGACGCCCTCCATATCTGCTGTGTTTACATCTATGAAGAATCTAAATTACATGTCTGCCAACATGTCCGCCCTCAGCCTCGATCCTCCCACTCAGTCGGCAGCAACAGGCGTGGGCGAACGTCACAGTATGTCCTCCACATATAGTGACTTTGACGTTGGTGAGATGTTGCAGAGCGTGGGTGATGCGTTGAGCGGTGTAGCAGCGCAAGCGGGTGTGGATCTGGTTTTATTTCACGGTGATGTGGGGCTAAAGTATGTCGGGGTGAAAGGAGATGAAGGCGGCATCTCGTATACGTTGTCTCATGTGAGCAGGTCTCGCTTTGTTATTGTGAATATTCCTAACGCCAATCACAGGTGGTCCGACAAATCATAGGAACAGCGCATCCTGGAGACACCGTTGAGATCGGGCTGTTCCTGGAACCTGTGCCCGATTCCGATACTACAGTTCTGCCTTGTGAATGCTCGTCTCCCTCCTGTGGGGAGGACAAAACGTTACGCTGTGTCTTCCACATCAATCATTCACGTGTTGCATCAGAATGGGCAAGCTCGACAGAGGAAAGTGCCGGCAGCTCTCCTGTTTCCCCGACATCGCCATCTTTCAGACCACAACCATCCTTTAAGACCCTTTTCCTCCGCCGTTTGCTTAGCCATGTAGGCGCCTCCCTGGAGACAGATGTGGAGCCGAAAGGCCTCACTCCTGGCCGTCCCGTCGAGCTATCTATCGAATTAGAGCGCGGTTCCCCGAATGTTGTAAACCCCGTTATCAATACCTTTCCAGATGAATCGGCTTTCATTGGGAACCCGGAGCTGAAGATTTCGCATGAGCCCACCATGGGACAGCTGGTTCGTTTCGCTGAGGGGCTCCGAGGGAAGAAGGCAACGCTGTACGCAAACCCGAAAGGTGCCTTTGCTCGTCACCTCACGAGCTATCTCACTACCTGGGGCATGGACGTCAGCCCGGTCTCCACAGAGCCAGATGCTGATGCCATGTCTGAGAATGGCGCGCCGGTGGTGGACCCGGCGTCGAGTCCTCTGTCAGGAAGGGACGACACACCACTGCCTACAGTGCCGGAACAAGCTCCTGGGGTGGCTTCCTCTGCGAATGGGAGCAGTGGCGCGGATATAGCAGCGTTCGTCCTCATTGACGATGATGTTAGCATATTACGAAGCAAGTTGCAGAAGATCAAGGCCGAACAAGCGTATCCGCTGCATCTACATACGAGGAAACGACCCTCTCTCGCCGCCAATCACCGTCCACGTTCTTCACCGCAGGTCGCTCGTGTCATGGGGCTTACTGCTTCCTCTACTACATCTCTCGCGTCCCCTCCTGTTATTGTCCATTTTACTTCACTGTCCAACTTCAAACTTGTGAGGGACGCGATTCAATCCGATCTGATCCCCGGGTTTGGCAATACATCGCGCCTTCCGGAGGTCTTAGTGATACCGAAGCCCGCGGGTCCACGGCGATTATTGACAGCATTACATACCGCCATGACAAAACCGGTTGTGGACCCGTTCTTCTACCCCATTGCTACTTCTCCTATAAGTCCCGGGTTCCACGCTATGAGTCCTTTCTTCAACACGTCTGGTGCAGCAAGGTCACCTGGCGGACGGTCAAACACGAGCATCCGCACCGCTTCCGATAAGTCGGCAAGATCGCCGAAGGAATACCCTGCCTCGTCACCACGCGGTGCCTCGGACTCGACGGAGTATTTCTCCAATGCTGACACGGCGGCGAAGCTTGGTGCTGTTCCCGCCTCGGGACTAGTCATTCAAAGCCCCAACGGCCAGCCTGCTGGGATATTCTTTCATCCCAAGCCGAAGAACGCGAAGGGTGCATTGCAATCACCTCAAAGCGAGCGTGCGGCTGCTCAATACGATTCTCCGGGTCGCTCTCATGGCATTTCATTCCGCCGTACACCAGACAATGAAGCTAAAGGCGGCTTGACTGTTGGGACCGCGGACATTGCTCGACGTGGACCACGCTCGCCTGCAGGAGCGAGCGTCGAGGCTAGTGCCGAACGTGACGATCCGTTCGGCAGTCAGTCGAAGGGCAAGGGACGACATGCGGTCTACGAAGGTCTCGCTCCGCTGTCTCCCGCGGAAAGCCCAATAACCGCCGGGTTGGTGGGGTCGCCCATAAGGGAGTCATCGACGTCAAGTGCACGGACACCTACCAGGAAGTCGATACAGTCAGATAACCTCGCGAGACATGCGTCGGGCGCGCCGGTATCCCCGTCCCGTGCAGTACCCGCTCCACCCTTGCGGCGTCCACGAAGGCCGAAGTTCGAGAATACCGCCTCCGCGCCCGCTGCCGTGCAGAAGAAGGGGAAACCGACTGACACGAATATTGTGCCGCCGATTAGCGTCCTTATCGTTGACGGTTTGTGGCGCCTTTTCTCCGCACGCGCTAAGACGCTGAGTGACTCCCCAATTCCTATAGATAACCCGATCAATCAGACCATTCTCTCGACATTCATGAAAAAGAAAAAGATTAAGTATGACGTTGCGCAGAATGGAGAGGAAGCTGTTGACAAATGGCGCAGCGGTGGCTTCCACTTGATTCTGGTCAGTCCACATCTAACGACCTATGTGTGATAGTGTATCTCACGTTTGAGCTCTGTGCAGATGGATATACAGATGCCTGTCATGGATGGTATTGCGGCTACGAAGGAGATCAGACGGATGGAGAAGCTCAGTGCAACAGGGGGGTTCCCGACGACACCTGGTTCCGAAGGTCAAAGCACCCCTTCCGACACTTCGACTAGCGAATCGCGCTCGTCGACGACGTCTACCCCTCCGTATAGATCGTCCGTTATTATTGTCGCTTTGACCGCCTCATCATTACAGAGTGATCGTGTGGCCGCTCTAGCTGCTGGGTGTAACGACTTCCTGACGAAGCCAGTCTCGCTCCATTGGCTCAACAGCAAGATCATTGAGTGGGGCTCCATTAAAGCGTTGCAGATGTGGGCAGATATCCGACCTGAGTTCGTCAAGAGCATATCGTCCGGACAAGCCGTGCAGGCTCAGCATGTTGCACGTCGGTTGCATGTACCACTGGGCCGGTCTACTCCTACACACTCGCGTAGTCGTTCCTCGAGCACTTCACGGAAGGTGATCTCGCGCGAGGGCGTAGCCGCCGCGGCGAGAGGCCTCATTGGAGAGGACAAGACGATCACACCGAACACCCCCATCCATGATGATTCTCCCGGTGCATTGCCCAATGACTCGTCTAGAATCACCGCTTCTGTCTCCGAGCCCTTGGCGCCTGGTCCAGCCGAACGTAAGTACTCACTATATCTCCGAGGAATTCCGCAACCAACCGGCAGTTGCTCTAGGTGTGGCGGACATTGAAATACCGGCGGCAAATGGTCCTTCTGCGCAATCAGAAGGCGTGCTCGTTATTCCCAGTATGGATCTTCGTACGTATTGATTTAGCATTAACTTCTCGTGAACGTGGGCTAACTGTGGAGATTCTAGCGGGGATGATGCAGTCTGTTGAGGACACGATGCCGTCGGCGGAGCACTCTGGCTGTGCAGAACCACCAAATACTCGGGCAACGCCGTTCTCCGGTCCCTCGGAACGCTTTGCGAATGCAAATGATGGAGAATTTGAAGAAAAAGATGCATCGCCAGCGGTGGATGACTCACCACCGCTTCGTCACGACAGCAATCCGCCGCAACCGCCGCCAGAACCGCAATGACGGTGCGGGGCGACCCTTGGGCTGTTTGCATGGTTTGCAATCCCCTTCGTTCTTCCCTTCTTGCCAAGGGTCGCCGGGTTTGTTCGCAGATTCTTTCGATGATAGTTATTGGGCCTTATTGTTTCTATTTTTGATCGGGTATTTCCTTTGATTTTCATGGTGGTTGGTCGGTCGGTCATTTGGGTTGTCAAGTCTGGGTCATATGCGCTGTCTCTGCCTACACTCATTCAGATACCTTGCACTCACGTCTATCAGATTGTATTCATTCACGGCTATTTTTGCGCTTGCAATGCGGACACTGCTCGCCTGCTCTTTTGTGCCTGCCTTTCCATTTCCCACTCGCTGCTCGGTCACCCCCCTAGCCCCGTCCCACTTCCCCTATTTTCTGCTGACATGATGTATATTACGGTTGTTTCCACCAGCATGGTCAGTCCGCCTAGACATATATCCACATACACGAGACGATATATCATTATGCCCTTGCTACGCTCACGAGTACAATACACGGCCTCTATTGTTGTGATGTGTCTGGTCACGTTAACGATATGACGATCCGCGAGGCAAAGGTCCGCGAAGGTAATAAGACGGAAAGGATGGGACGAGTCAAATTGGTTGATGTCAGGATGATGCAGCCATGCGGACTCAAGAGTGCGGCGCGTGCTCTGGGGGAGGCAGATCAGCGGGCGCTCCTGTTCGCGGGACGCCGACACGCTGACGGCTAGCAGATGCATAATCGCGCTAACCAGCGGGAAATGGTTTACTCATCCTCAAGGACAACTTGTGACGAAGTCAATCCTGAGCCCATCTCGTCACATCAGGCCCTAGGTGTGCCTCCCGCGACCAGCGAATGTGCCGCCGAGGGCTTTGCCTAGGATGGGGCTCGCGGATAGGCAAAAGCTCGCATGAAAGCTCCGCGAAGCTCTCCGGGGAGGCAATACTACGGGCAACGTTCGCGGAGGGTGGGGAGCGGTGATTCTCGCGCGTGGTGTCATGCGAATTTGGTGACGAGAGGGACATGCTGGCAAGGGTTCTAGCGGAGAGCGCGGTTGATGGTGGACACGCTGCAGACGGACACCTGGCTCCTTCCTCTTTCGGCATCTGGATAAGCGGACAGTAGACTCCGACCATGGCTTGACCTACAACACGCCCTTTCTTCTTCCTCTCCTCCTCCATCCCCTTCCTCCCCCCCGTCACCTCCTCCGTTT